CAAAATAAACACCACTATTGTAGTTTTTTGTGTACAATGCAACCTTAAAATTAATAAATTATCCAGTTAGTAATTGCTGAGTGAAGTATTCATTCTTTCTAGAGTGGAAAAGATAAAAAAAAAAATTCAGCATATTTTGTCTGCATAGTTCTCTGATTTAATGACCCCACAAAAGGGCTTCAGGATAACACATCAAAAGTCATGAATCCCACTGTGGGACACGAGTTTTAAAAAACTGATTTTTGGTGAGGATCTGATGGATAAAGTAATAGATATAATAATTTGAACACGTGAAAGGCCTTCTTCATCACAAATTTAAAGGTGTCTTTGTTCCTCACTTGATCTATGCCTTCCACTTCACAAAATAAAGAATAAATAAAAATATTAAGGACCGAAACTGTGACATGATTTATTTGACATGAAATGTCCCTGCTTTGTTCTCACATTATCACTTAGAAATTCTAGTTTACAATTTGCTATACAATTGATTGGTTTAGAATAGTGGTGACTGCTAATGCACAACTGAAATGAAGCATTTGCTCTGTGTCTTCAGTTGTACTTATTTGTTTAAAGACATCTTTCCATGTGTAGCTGTTATTTTTGGTGTTATTCCTTTTACAGAAATGCAGAAATGCCTGTCATGTACCAGATGCTTTCAACATAAACAGTTAAATTCTAGTTTATGTAGCCTTTTACTGGAGTTTTAATAATCCCTGCCCCAATATACACACCATGTGTATGAGATCATGGGTTGGACCTTTCTTCAGGATTGACTCAACCTTAATGCAATATAATAATCCCTGGAATGATTCTGTAATGTGGGAGCTTGTTGGGTGAATGTACTGTGACAGAAAAACAGTTGCACTGCAGATAAATGTTGAACGCTTCATCCCAACATTAAATATAAAATATTTTGACAGGCCATTAGCCAGTGTTTGTTTGGGAGGGCACAGCTGCAGGTAATTGGTCTCTATGAGCTGCATCTGTGGGCTGGCCTTTTTAAATGGCCTGTCTAAACTCACTTTTGTGACTTCAGAAACTCGTGGAAAGCAAAGCAGCATGTCAGAAGAGGGCTGTCCTCATCTTGCAGAAAGTAGCCTGATGGGCGGCTTCCTTTTTTGTGCTGCTGGGAAAGGGGCAAGTGACAGATTGAGGGAGCAGGGGAGGCCGTTGGTTGTTTGTCAGTGAAGTGACTGGGAAAGGGCCATGAAGGCGTGTGTGTGTTTGCCAGGAAGGTGGCGCGGCTGAGAGCAAGGTAACCTGGTTGGGGTGAAGCCTTTATATTACAAATATGTACATGCTTCTTTAGCATTATAGGAACTGCTCTGTAGAAGGGACCATGCCCTAGCTTGCCAAACTGGAATACTGTGAGGATTACGTTACATTTCTTCTGCAGCTTCCTTAAACATGCGGCTGTTGTCTGCCTCCTGTCTGCAGTGGAAAAATTCCAGCAGCTTCAGATCACCTTCCAATTTCAGAAGAAGTACTTTGAGTAAAACATAGACAAACATGCCTTGACATGGTTTCATGAAATGGAAAAGCTGCTACATTTCACCGCTGTGAAATTTTGACGTTTGTCAGAAAAGTAACTTTTCAAAAGTCCATTCAAGTGTTCTCCCTAGTGAAATCACAGAGATCTAATAACATGATTAAAGAAATACTGAACTGTTTTACAGTGCATTGAAAATGTATTCAGAGACACTTCCTATGGTGCTTCTTTTTATAAAATGACAAAATACTGTAATTCATACACTTTTTAACTTAATATTTGATTCCAAACCTGAAAGCTGAGATTGAAGACCCTTGAAGATAAGTTACAGGAAATGTCAGCAACATTTAAGATAAAAAATTAAATATATTGATTAAGTATCCAGACCCATACTTTACACTCAGTATGGAAGTTATCTATAGAAGCACCTTTTGGTAATAATCAAAGCTAAAAATCTTATTGGATAAGTGTTTTCCAACTTTGCACACCAGTTTGGTAGAAAGTTTACCCATACTTCTTGGCAGATTAGCTCAGGTTCTCTCATTGCTCAGTGATCACTTATGGATGGTAGTTTTCAAGTCTTTCTACAGATTTTCAAGTCAGGATTTTGTGCTACTCAAGGGCATTTGCTTTCTTATTCTTTTGCCACTCCAGTGTAACCTTGGCCTTGTGGTTTTCAATCAATGTCCTGGTAAAAGATGGAGTTTCATCCAAATTTCATGTCTGAAATAGGTTTTTATTCTTAGATTTGCTCTGTCTACGTTCTTGACAAGCTTCCCAGAAGCAGGACAATAATCCAGTGCTGCCAAACCAATGCTCCACAGTAGGAATGATGCTGACTGAGTGATGTTGGATTTATGTCAGATGTAATACTTTACATTTAGACCAAAAACTTCCATGTTTTTGTCTTGTTGGCCACACGACCTTTCGTCACATGTTTTGTTTCAGTATTACTTGTGTGCTTTGTTCCAACTGGATGCAGTATTTGTTTGATTTTTTCAATTTCATAAATCTCCCCGTTTGTGGAGTGATCGGGATATTGTTGACCCATGGATCTTTTCTCTCATCTCAGCCACTGCACTCTGTAACTCTCTCAAAGTCCCTCTTGGCATCACCATTTTCTTCTTTACCTGATTGCTCAGTTTGGAGGGACAGCCTTATTTAGGCTATTTCTTTGGTTCCATCCACTTCCTAATGATTAACTTCATCATAAGCAATGAAATATAAAGGTTCTTTGAAATGTTTTAATCCTTTTTCTTTATTTGTGCCTTTATATACTGTACCTTTATTCCTGAGTTTTCAAAACTCCTTGGTGTTCATGGTGGAATGTTTGCCTGAAACTCAATACTTGACTAAGGGACCTTACTGAGAAATTATTCTTTAGTTGTTTTTTAACAAGATAATAGAAACCAAGAAATGATTGTATAATCATAATGAAGGTTTCTACAATAAACGTTTTTCATTAAATATTTAGAAGTACTGACGTTTATACAATACCTGAGTATAATATATCAAGTGGTTGTGGTAACATCAGTTACATTATTTCCTGTGTTTGACATAAAAAGGTTCTGCTTTGTTATATCAGTTTTAAAAGTGTCCTTCTTGAAGCATTAAAACTTAAAATTGTGTGTAGTATGGCAGAACATTTCTTTCCTAGAAAACAGGAAATTCTTGAGTCTTGGATTCCAAAGTTTGTATGAAAATGAATGAGGTACTTTGAAATGCTTCTTTGTTATAAATAAAACTAAATGATAGATATTCAAAATGCTATGAGGCTTTGTTAAATGTGTTTCAGTATTATTTGCATACCGAGTTTTTAACCGAGTGGTTAGCTCCCAATAACGTAACTGGGAAAGCATATGATTTAAATTTAATATAAAATTAGATGAGGTAGAATGCCAGAATCTTCAGTTTTGTGTTTGGGAAGTTGTTCCAGCTGTAACCTAGCAACCAGAGTACAAATGGTTAGACTAGCTAATAACATTAATATGTTGGCATTTTTATTTAACGTACATTGTTTTGCACGGTGGGAGTTACCATTGATTAACTTGCAGGAGAATAAACTGAAGGTAGAAGAAACAATTTCCAGCTGTGATATGCATTATTAAAAAAATGCTATTTTTACACATTTGCAGTCATATTTTTTTTTATAGATTAAGTGAGATTTCTTTACCTATGTGTATCTCAATTTACTTTTAGTATGGTCATTTGTGGTTTATATGTAATGAAAAAAAATCTGCTCATAAGTCAATTTATCTTACTCACCAAATCCTTAAAAGATAAAGGTGTCTTTTAATGTGTTTATTGTGGGAAAATATATCGGAGCCTTCATTATGAACTTTGTGAGAATGAAACCTTTGTTCTACTCAAATACATATTCAGAGTGAGTTGTAATTATAGGCACTGCACCTGTGACCCTGAGGGTTTGAGAACACTGTTGTGAATAAAGCTTTTGTTCAAAGGGTTATGTAAAAATGCTAGTACCAACCATGACACTAACACAGACTTGTGTATTTTTAAAACGCACATCTCATCTTGTTTCTGAACTCTCTGCAATAATACCAAACGTGCTGTGATACCACATGGGGCGGTTTACAACAGGGGCGCAGGTTCTAAACCCAGCACTGTCACAACTCTGTAGTCCAAAGTAAACTTTATTTACAGTAACAGCATCTATCCCAGTACAGCAACTTCTTTTACAGCAAAATGACTTGTATTCCATCACAACGGCTCATACCTCAACTCAACAGTTAATTTCAGTTTCAATGCTTTCTTCCTGACTGCAGTACAGATTCTCTCTTCAGCCTCTTACCCGTAGACACTCTTTATGCTTCTGGTTCACTGTGCCTTCCTTGTATGTATTCTCTCTTATTGGTTTAGTGCTCTGTTTAAATGTACTCTGGCAGACCACACAGCTGATCCCTGCTCCAGTGAATGCTGGTGTCCACCATTGTGAGGTCGGTGCCTCCAGTCGGCCATTTCAGGGAGGTCGAACTGTCCAGGAACCGAAGGACACCTCAAAGAAAATAATTTTGTTTTAATTAATTTTGTTTCTCAAGGAAAAAATGTTTTGAGGACTCTGCCCCTCATGGCACAGTGTATACTGGGAACAGGCTCTCAGTACCATATACTGTATATACCATGGATATACCTATTAGACCATGCAAATCAACATAAATATGCCAAGTCACAAACTAATGTGGTGGAAAATGAATACCGTACTGCATATTATTCTATTAGAAAAATGAACATAAAGCACAAATTATCACAGTTATTAAGTGCAGTGATATTCAGGAAAATGTGAGAAAGCAGGAGAGATGCAGTGGTTACAAGGAGCAAAATGTACAGTATTCAGATTTGTACATGAAACTATGTTTGGTGTTATTTGAATTAATTTCTTTTTAAAAACAGATTGCAAAGATTTTACCAAGTGGGTTTACTCATTAATGCATAAAAAATATTTGTCTTTCTTTCACATCAAACTAAGGCTGTTTTTGTTTTTGCTTTACAGGGACTTGAGATTTAACAAAATAAAGGAGATTCAACCAGGCTCTTTCAGGCGTCTTAAAAATCTCAACACACTGTAAGTATTCCTGTTGCACATTTGACACGTGGTATGGTAAGGCTGTTTGTGGATAATAAATTGAATTTCAAATTTCATTAGTTTTCCTGTTTATGTATTAAAAATATATTCTAAATTTAATTTTCTTGAGCTATATATGACTCTAAACACACACATTTTAGACAAATACTTGTCATCCTTTGGTTCTGTTTTCACTTGAACCTGTTATTTTGTATAATTGATCCCTGTTTAAAAAAGTTGGCAAAGAGGTACGTTAGGACTGTGTTTTCATATATTGTAGCATGGCTCCTTCTTTTAAGAATTCCTTTTTATTGATGTATAGTTAAATTATATAATATATAAATGTATAGTTACCATTTTGCTAAACACTATTAGAAAGGAAACTGACAAGATGGGATCACATTTTGGACAGTATGTACTGGGTGCTGGGAATTTTGGGCTTTAATGTGTTTTGATGTATAATATCGTACAAGTAATTTATGGAACAAGTAATAGGTTTATTCCATGCTGAAAAAAAGAAGAAAGAAAACAACGTTTCGACAGTGGAGCCCTCTCCAGGTGTGAGGAAGCCTGAAGAAGGCTCCACGGCTGAAACGTGTTTTCTTTCTTCTTTTTTTCAGCATGGAATAAACATATTACTTGTTCCTTTGCAGCCTACACATGCTGACGCAGCTACCCACCTGAACTACTACAAGTAATTTATATATAGAAGTTAAAATAAGATTAAGATTTCATGGCAGCAGTTTATCCTGCTGCCTCATAGTTCTTTGATCATGGGTTTGATTCCATGCTGGAATGTGTAGTTTGCATGGGTTCTTCCTGGGTGCTTAGGTTTCCTCAACCCACACAAAAGATGTGCAGCCTAGGTTCGATTAGCACTTCTCAATCTACCTTTAGTCTGTGGCCCTGCAATGGACTGGTGTCCCATCAAGAGCCAGAGCAGTCATGCACTTTAAGTCCCACCTTGGGATTTCTTTTTTTGGAATAAACTCTTGTGTTGCCTCAGGACAAGAAGCCATCTCATAATGGATAAGTGGGAATAACATTAAATGAAAGCAGTTTTGCTTCATTTGTCAAACGTTTCATATGTGTCTTTAGCAACTTAAAAAGATGGCAAGAAATGGTTGCCTTATGTGTCAGCCATGTCTTCATGGTTTCAGAAATGTAGGTCAGAGCACACCTAGAAATTAGTATGTTTCCCCCTTTGCTTGGATGACCATTTGTAAAGGTATTTTTCTCAGGTTGACTTGAAGGTCTGCAGTTAAAGAAAAGCTGCTTTTTTTAGATCATCTGAGTGGAAAGATGGTAAATGTAATGATCCAGCTCACACAATTTAGCCAAAAGTTATTATTATAGCTTATTAACCCATCATTTAATTGCCAAGTTGTTGTTTTTTTCAGAAAATTAAAGCTATAAAGCCATATATATCTTGCAAGCACTGCTTAAATGATAATGATGAAGTGAATTGTTCAATATCATATATTCCTTGACTGAAACAGCCATTTTGTTGTTTTTGTAGAAGTAGTAGTTCCCATCTGTTACACGGAAACCTTTATCTGAAGATGACAATAAGCCGTAAGAGAAACATTTAGGCCTCCATGTTAATTATTTATTTTTAAATTATTCTCAGAATAACAGCACATCTTATTCATTATAAACAATATGCTTTGGAGGATGAAGACTATCTCCAGATAGGATGCAACATAATTTGAATATATTTCACTTTAATTAATGCCTACATTTCAGTGTACAAGAGTAACTTGATGAGTGAAAGATTTGTGCAAACTACAGATTTGTGTAAAATACAAATAGTATACAACTGTATTCCTACAGTATGTTAAACAGTACTTGACTATGATCAGAGAATAAAAAACACATGTAATTACTCTCACAATAATTTAAAAAAGTTTCCCCATCTAACTTTTATGTTGGGTAGTGAGTTGGGAATTACTAGTGGTTAAAGGGGAATTGATAGTGGTTTGGGAACTACATCCTCCTTCAAACAATGGTGAAAAGGCTTTGAGCAGTCACCAAAGGATTCCAGGTGATTAGCAGGAATAATTAGCAGAAAATGTATAAGAACGTTACAAATGAGGCAGCAATTCAGCCTTTCGGGCTGACATGTTGGTAGACAGGTTTAAAAAGAGACAAACAAGCCTTGAAAATGTTCAGTTTTGTGGGTGTTCTGCAATGGGTGTGCAGGAAGAATGTTTTGGGATTGAATATTGAAAATAGCTTACAGTATACAGTATGACCTAAACTAGTGGCAACCAATGGCTTCTCTTCATGCTAACATGAAGCTATCAGACCAACGTGGCACTCCTTGTTTCAAGATGGAGACAATGAATTGTGGAACATGGGGCCCACATTGAAAAGTAAAACCATGTGCTTGAATTCTTATGTCCCTCACCTGTCTTTTATAAGCTAACATCAGCCACATACTGTATACTCCAAGTTGAGAAAAGGCATCTGGATACTTTACAAACACCCCTTGTGAAAAAGAAAAGCCATGATAGCAGGGAAGACCTCTGAGTTGAAACAAATTCAAATAATTATTTCTTTATTTATAGTTGACATCTTCAAATTAGTGCTCGACAATTTTACATTTCAAATATGGACTTCTGTTTTATCCTTCTGATGAAACAGGTTCTATTTTAACAACCTTAATCTCTACGAGATTATGAGAATAGTACAAATGTTCCTGAATATGATTAATAAAAAAAGCTGTCAGTATCCAAACTGCAAAAGAACAGGTCGTTTAATTCAATGTGGTTTCTTTATTTTTCCTGCTTTTTCATCATAAGATTAACATATTTCATTCTATACCGAAGTATTTTGTAACTACATAAAATTAAATAGTGTACTAGTAGACATTATTCAAGTAGTTATGTAAGGCTGGCATACTCTGGACATCCACTCTAGAGTAATGTTGTCTGCATCGAGGGCTTAATCAGAAGCACTTTTGCAGTGTCTCTCATGGCAAAATTAAAGGGAAATTGTTATAACTCATGGAATATATGCTGTTTGCATCTTAAATTATAGACTGTTATTAACACAACAACCAAATATCAAGTACACTGGGTAGTGGCTTTGTGTTTACTAGAGGCCAGAGACAAGCCAAGTTAGAAAATCATGGATAAAACTACAGAGAAGAGCCTCCATACACACACCGAGCTCATTAATTCTATGTGTCACCTGTCCATTTCTCCTTTAGAGAAAATCAACACTATTTAGTGTTGATACTGTTTTAACATTTTGTATTGATTGAATCTCAGAATGTAACCTCTTGCATTTTTCTTGCATTTCCAGCTTTACGATTTGTTCCTCAGCTTCTTAAGAGAGTCTTATATTTTTATTTAGTGTTTTCCATTTGGTTTGCATGTAATGGTGTTGTGTTCGCACCTTACTACAAATGATAAAAATATTGATTGCTTGGAACCATACTTGAATCTCCTTGAAAAGTCCTTCTGTATGACACTATTTTGTTTCTTGTATTTAGTTCAGTATCATACCCTTTTCATGTGGCAAACATTTTATTTTTAATAGAAATGTCACTGAAAAAAGTACCTTGAACATGTAAAATTCTTTATCTGTTTTTTCAGAATGAAGGTGTATTTTTCTCCATTTCTTCCGAAGTTATTATACAGAATCATAATTAGACTGATACAGTACAAAACAGCCATGACAGATGTTTGACCTTCTAATGACTGTCTGCACCATGCTGTCTAAAAACATGTTTTCAGGCAAGTCCAAGCATAACAAAATATTTTACTGGAAGTTTGCTGCATTTTTTCCCCCTTTGTGATATGAACAGAGAGTGATTGTTAATCAAGGCAAAGGACTGTATGTAAATTGTTTATACTTTTAAAATACACACAGACACTCTACAAAGTAGTATTTTAGAAGTATTATAGGAGTACATTGTTTTTTTATTTTCCCATTTAAATAACATTTTGTAAATTCTGAGCTATTGTAAGTATACTATTTCAGAAATAGTACATGTATACACATGTATTTATGTTGCCTGTAATGCTCAGTATTGTTTTATATTTCAAGCTTTAATGCTCAAGTGTTTCTAGAAGATGTATCTATTTTTGGCAGTGTTTTTATCCTAATTAACAAGAAAGTTTTAGTTAATCTCACCACACCTTATTTGTTCATGCTAGGTCTGGCCTCATCACATCTCTACCTCCTAACCTGAATTCACCACAGCATTTTGTTAGCTTTTTTTTTAAATCTTGACTTGTATGATGTTATTGCCACTGTTCACGATCATTATAACCTTTTGTTGGTTGTTGGTGACTAAGGTGATTTTTATAGCAATTGAGGTATATTTTATGTATTTAATGGTGTCATAAGTAGACTTGTCTTTATTATTAATTCATGTTTTGAATTTTTGATGATTGTTTATCTTAAACATTTTTAAAATAAAATGCCTATTAGTTAACCTACAGTGCATTATATCTGCCTCTAGTTCTCATTTCTTTACACAATTATTTGATTTTCCCAATATACCAGCTAATGCTCCTGACTACTTAAAATAAGTCACTCCATTGATAACAATCTTTGCATCATACAGAATGACAGCAACACTCTTGGTTTCACACAACTTTGGTGTGCATTTTTAAAACTAGCACTTCAGAGCAGCATATGTTAATCCCTTTTTTAATATTAAAAGAAGTTCTTTCCTTTTGCTGGTAAATGCTAAAATAGTATAAAAAATCCAGGATAAGTCACTGGCAACACTGGCAACGTTTTGTCGTTTCCTGTCTCTTTGCTCATGTTTGTCATATTTTGTTTTCCAGGAAAAACATTATCTTACATGGTAGTGTTTTATTTTATTTCCTCTTATGATGGATAATGGCATGTTATTTTACTGAGACATAATAATAACTTAGATTGTAATCTGCGTTTGTGTTTTACAATATGCATTCTTTCCTATTTTCCTTGTTCTGACAGTCATTTAATATGAAAATATTGTGAAGGATTTTAACAGCTTTACAGAGCTTGTGAAAGTGTTTTGCTGATTCATTTCTCCTTATTTTATAGGCTGTTGAATAATAATCATATAAGAAGAATTCCAAGAGCTGCATTTGAAGATCTGGAAAACCTTAAATATCTGTGAGTGTGCAGGACTAAATTGTTTTTCTTTTCTGTTTAAAGTGAAATGCAAGCCATACATTGACATTCTTAAAATTCCTTTTATGCATATATTGTACCTCTGTAATCCTACTAAAGTGAAATTCAGAAAGGAAGAAACAACATAAATTGTACATTTACAGGATAACTGATCTGATTTCTCTGAAGAAAATGTACCAGAAGATCTTTATTTTTATTTTACTGCACATCTTTCACATTGCATATAATCAGGACATTCTGTCACTCACCTTCAGTTACATGTTTTTGCCATTTCATTTTTATTGGTCCTCTGGAGCATACTGTACTGTAGGTTGGTGGGGCTCCTCTTTCTCCATTCTGTCAAGCTTATCATTCAATATTTTAGTAGTAGAATCCAGAGGTTACATTAATATCTGCAAGCTGAAACCAGATTATGAGGATGTTTTTTAGTTTTATTTAGTTAGAACAATTTAGTTGTTCTGGCAGTGTATTTAGGGTCATTGTTGTTTTTAAAATCAAGCCTTTACCAACGGCTAATTTTCCTTAAGGTTATTAGTGTATTATATGATGTGGACTTTTATGTTAACTTGCAAACAAACCTTGACTTAACTTACAGCATGTGGTAGTGCATTGGAAATTGTTTTGAAAAGGTATGTTACCCCTTATTTTTAACTAACAATCAGTTCTCCAACATATCTTATCCCATCAGAGGAAACAGCATAGACACTTTATCAAAACTGTTATGATATGAAGAGCTGTGGTATGAGAACTTGCAGAAAAACGTCAAGATGCCTAGTCAAAAGCACAGTCTAGAAGAATGTTGTGGGCGCACACCGTGATGTTAATTAACTCAAGATAAAACTGTGAGAGCTGTTTGGTAGATTGGTGGGAGTAGGGTGCCTGCAGTAGAACATACTGTACAGTAGCTGTTAAAATAAATCTTCAGGGTTGGATTAATAATGCACAGTCAGGAGGAACAGTATCATAATTTGTCTGCCAGTTTTTTTTTCAAAAGGGTTCCAGAGACAAGTGTGTGCAGTTGTTACTGCACAGTCACCTACAGTCTACTACATGTCTTACACTTTTTGGCAGATCTGGGGCTTGAAATTAGAAGTTTCTGATGCTCCTGTAATTTCACTACTCGACCACCTGGCGTGGAAAGTGTCATTTCATTCATCTTTGTCATTCAGTGCGGAAGGAGACATTTGGCTCAAATCTTGCGTTTTTGACATTTTAATGACTGTACACACTGCAGAAATAAACTTAAATATTAAACTGGATGGAATGAAGGAATGATAAACCATAACCCAACTGGATAGAGCACTAACAGATGGTATTGGACTATTAAATGTCTGTGACGATGCCTTTAGTATATACAGGTGTTATTGCAAACAGGGGGGAGTATTTCAATGACATTGATAGGAGAAAATGTCCCCGTTCTCTTTATTTTTCTAATGCTTGACACTACCGTATACGCTGATTCTTCTTTTGTCCATTGTATTTCAGTAAAATTCGTCACATAAATCCCTAGTATATATAACTCATTACATCACTTTTTATTCTCTTATGTTTTTAATTGCTGTTCTATATCAATAAGCTATAGGAGCAGTGATTGAATAATTTATGCAGTTAAGGTAAAAAAACAGAAATGTTCCAATTATGCTTGGGATGTGGCTCATGTTGCCTGGGTGAAATGATACTTGTGTTGTTGGAACTTTGACATCTGACTTAAGCATGCTGCCATAAATAGAAGTGCTTTGTATTTAAATTTCTTTGAAGGGTACATTAGGATGTACTGTAACTCCATTAATAAAGCACACAGTAGTACAGTTTATACTGTAGGTTCATATTTTTATACCATCCTTGCCACTATTCTTTTGATTGATATTTACATATAAAATCACATTTTTTGTGACTTTGCACAGGTATAAAAATATGAATTAATGAACAATGTGTTTTAATGACCAATATTACAAATTATACCGAGCTTCTATTTCCATGTTATTGAACTCACCCATTTAAAGGAACAAGTAGAGGTTAATTCCTGACTGAAAACAGTAAAGAAAAAAAAACATTTTGGTTGTGGGGCTGCCTTCACAAATGATGGCTTGTTTTTGCTGTATGTGCTTTTCTTTTCTATTTTTCAGCATGGAATTAACATTTTGCTATTTTGTGACTCACACACTGACACAACATGCTCTCACCTCTTAAACATAGAAAAGGTTTCTTAGTGTCAATATATACAGTTCATAATGCTAAATAATTTTATGTCATAATGTTTCTAATGTTCTTATGTTTTATTCATATATTAATGTAACACAATTTATAGATTGAAACATATTAATTTTTATAGTTGCAGGTTATGGCTACCATCTAGCATCTCAAAAAGACTGGATATTTCCATACCTTCACAATGTTATTTTAGGGTTATAATTAATAAATGGCTGGTGAATACAAAGTTTAATTACTTTACAAAAGAGCTGTCCATTACACAACACAAACATGTCATCTGAGTCCAAAACATAACCCAGGTTCAAATGATGTAGCTTATGAACAATCTGATCAAACAACAAGACATTTCTTGCATGGTGTCAGCTAAAATACTTCATTTTAGCATGTGTTGACCGAATATGTATGAGCCTCAAAATAGTCTACATCAAAAATGTTTTCATTACATTAAATAGTTTCTGTATAAATGTGAATATGTTTACATTAGTTTCTGTATAAATCTGAATATCTTGATGATGCAGACATGTCTATGTTCAAACTAAATTAATTGATGTAGCATATTTTAACTTATTTATTTTTAACCCAAACACAATCAATACACAATTCAGTATGCTGTATAATTCTGAATTAATGCTCTTCATTGGATAAGAGGAGTTCAGAGTAGCCAGTTTGATTAGGTAATGAATGGAGTTAAATGCTTCATATACTGTATTTTAGAAGATTTGTAAACATAAATCTGACCTTGAGGGATGTGCAATGTTTCAAACAGGTACTGATATCAATAATGGTTTAAGTGATCCATGTAATTAATTAATTATATTAATCATGTTATGTAGATTAAATGTCAGTTTATATTTAACCAGATCCTCAGGTGGTCATGTGGTCATCTACACAATCTAGAGGACACAAATGAAAATTATTGGGAAGCACATCTTGAAACTGAGAACCTGGGATACTTTTTTTAAAAAAAGTAGTGTGGGAGTCTGCAACAAGCTCCCCAGCTAGTTTGTCAAATAACTGGATGGGATTCTCAGCAGCCAAGCGATTGACCAGGTAGTCTCCTCTCATTTGCAGCATTTCTTGTGTCCTTATGCTCTCCTTAGCTGTTAAATGGAATCTCTTCCACCTTAATTGCCTCCTTCAGTAGGCATGGACTTGCAGACTCCTGAATGGAGTAGTACTTGGATGTTTGTGGTCTACATGCTGTACTGCAGAATAACAGAAATAAGCAAAAAAATTAAACCTTGTATCTCATTTTAGTCAACATTATAGACCACAGTATGCACGGTTTGCACCTGTGATTTCTGTTCAGAAATCATTGTAGGAAGTAAACTGCACAATAGCTACAAACAACATTGTGAAACAAAGGAAGCATTTGCTGTGCGACTCATTGATGTTGCTAAAAAAAGGTTCATTTTGAGGCTTTGCAGTTTCTTTCTTATGACTCATGAGCTGTGTGTAAACCAGCTCCTCTCAGCTGTGGTGTATGAGTTCTGTCTGAGTTTATCTAAGTGTGTCTGAAATGTTTAGTTTGTGCATTGCTCTTTTTGGCCTTTGTTCTGGTCCTGTTCTTTGTCATCAGTGTTGTTGCTTTCCATAGAGATCTGTGTTACAAAGGCAGAAAATATTAAACCGTTTCTCTCATTTAGGTCTAGTTTTTATTTGCATTTCATAGCTCCTTAAAGTTATTGTCCTTGTTTTGGTGCATAACAAGGATCAATTTTGATTGTTTTTGCAATCATAAAAAAAGTTCCTCAGAGTTTTATGATAAAGTTACATCCTAAAATTTGGGAGCTACTGTCAGCTGTTTTAGTTCCTTTATTGTCTTGATGTTGTGGATGCCCACTTTGTATTCCTAGAGGATTTGTTCCTTGTCTTATTCTAGACTCTGTATCATATTTAACTTTAAAACAGTAAAATATGACATTTTGTTTACTCGTTACACACCCTGGCATGGGCAAAACATTTTTTTTTTCATTTTGCAGGTTTAGTTTTAAAAGTGAAAATTCCTAATGGCTAAATAACTACAGTATATGAAACATCATAGTAATGTGTTTGAATGGAGTATATTAAAACCCAAATATTTTTTTCACCTGATTTTTCTGTTTGTTTGTCACAAGCCCAATCAGACATCCTGTCTTGCTACCTGTATAGAGTCTAACTTATTGAGTGTCATATAAAACCCTTCAGTGTGCAATAATTGGAATTTATAAGACGCTGAAAATGATGTAGGTAACTAATGTGTAAGGAACATATATATATTTTTTGTGGAAGATAATCTTAAAAACTGGTGGGATTGAAGGAAACGTCATGTCCAACAGCTCTGGCCACCTTATGTGTGATGTGTGCAATGGAATTGCTGACTGAATTTCTAAAAAGCCCTTTTGTTAGAAACGCGTTAAAGGCTGTAAAAGCCTGGGTCAAAGGGACAGATCAATCTGTTTTAATGGGATGTAAAAGAGATTTCCTCATGTCTTGACACTTTACGACCTCACAAGTGCCAAGGAAATGACTTATTAATATTCTGTTCTCTCACTTCCCACAGATCAGTATCCCAATGGGAAGTATAAAGTGACCCGATCTTAAACAAGAGGGGTGGTGGATTTGGGGGAGGGGGGTAGAATTGAGCCAGACAGCCAGTTTAAAGAGAAACAAAAGAACAGTCAATATCTACAGCTCAGAATATTCCTGACTATCAAGCCTGTCCTAAGGTTCTTGGTCTTTTGTGAAACAACAAAGCTTTATTGTCTTAGGGCAGTAAAAAAGATGTATGCTTGACTGTGATTATTAGCTAAGATGTTCAGCGTTTTGTACCAGCGGCTGAAGTTCATTAGTGTGCATTTAAAGTACTCATAACAGTACAAACAATAGTGCAATCCCAAATAGTAAATGTTGTTAGTTGGTTATTATTGACTTGTTCTTGAGTAAGGGACTAATATTCATAAAACCATTCAAAGGGAAAAACCTTTCTTAACTAAGTTAAATTCTGAGCTGGAAGTATCCATGCTATAATGTTATTTAATTGTATAGTGGAATTTTAGCCTTTTATTGCCAAGAGCAAGAAATAAAATAGTTGGAATGAATAAGTCGATACATATAATTTTTAAACGACAATTGATATTGTAAACTTTCAGCAAGGACTATCTGATAAGTTAAGTTTTAGATTACACTAGATTCTTTTTAGATTTCATTTTAGATTTCTTTTAAGTACACTTTTTCTACTTTCAGTAAACAAAGTCTTGTTTGTGCACCTTTAAAAAAATTGGTGTCGTCTCTCTTTAGATTATCTTTGCTGTTAATTTAGGCTTTTTATGATGAAGTACATTTCTGAAAAATATGGCTTGAATTTTGACAACTTCATTTTGAACTTTGGATCCATGTTTGTCTGGCATTTGGTTTAAAGTACCATTTGTGTGCCTTACTATTTGGATAAATATGGAAATGGGATGCATAAAAAGTTTCCCATGTATTTTTTTGCAAAAATGAACAACTTCTGTTATATGAACTGCAGTATCAATTAGACAAATTGAATCTGCAAATTTATATTTTCTCTGAACATCAAACCTCTTCTTTCCAGTTTAATTGAATGCCCCAAATGGGAAACAACAGAAACGATAAAACACTTTAACAAATGGTGCAGTTTTATTTCAAGAACATTAAAAGATGTGTAACCCCTGAATTTGTTTAAACCACTGTGTTCCTAAAGTAATACAATATCCCTCCAAATTGACCTCCTGTGTGTTTACTAATATTACTGATTATTTCTTGTTTCAGCTATTTGTACAAGAATGAAATCCAATCAATTGACAGACAAGCATTTAAGGGACTTGTCTCTCTAGAACAACTGTAAGTGACTTCTCCTGACTCCTCTAATCCTTTCCTTCCCTCTGCGTGACTTGTTATCTCTCCATGTTGGAGTTCTGCATGACTTGTATGCAACCCTGTATGTAAACATGAATATTACTTGCATGTCCTGCATAGAAGATATTAGCCTAAGGATTTGAGTGCATCTCAGGCACTTTAAAAGACATTCAAGCAGTTACCTACATGTAAGCATTTCAAGCATTTTTAATAAATATTCTCCACTTGACAATTGTTCTCTCTTCTCCCTGTTCAATATTCTATACTATCTATTTGCTATCATTGATTGATATTTAAACTTAAAGAGTAATGTTCTAACTTAAATGTTTAATTTACCCTTTTCAATTGTAATTGTGTACTCTCGATTTTGTTACAGTATTGCATGCATTTCATTGGAACTGCAAATTAACTACATTGTTTTGTATAAAAAAGCAAATATGTAGCCTTGCTCTTAATATTCTGTGAAACAAATTGTGCATTAATTTGGGTTTCTGGAAAACTTAGCTTCATTGAAGTTAACATCGAACATTCTGCAATTTATTCATCTGTAGATGATGTGGTTTCTTAAAGATTTGCATAATTATTTTGTTTTACAGTATGGTACATCTCTGAAATGTTTGGGTTCTGATAGAATATGCTTTTTAAAATTTCATTCCAATTAACAGCAAAGTACCATACTGAATACTATTCATTTAAGCACCATAGCAATATAGAATCAATTTACTCTTAAGTTTAGCATGTCTAAGATCAATATATAACTTTTTAAACTAGTATTCAGTTTTTATGGTTGAATTTGCACATCAGAAGTAATTTCTTTATTTAAAGTTACAACATTCTGTTAGTGGTAGGTAATGGGTAACAAAGATTGAGTTGTGGTTTTTATATTAAGGACATATACTGTAATATAGAGGAACAAGTAATAGGTTTATTCCATGCTGAAAAGAGAAGAAAGAAAACACAGCTATTTCAGCCGTGGAGCCTTCTTCAGGTTCACACCTGGTGTGTTCTTTCTTCTCTTTTCAGCATGGAATAAACTTATTGTTCCTTTGCAGCCTATGCATGCTGACACAGCTACCCACCTGAACTACTTCATATAATGTAGTCAATAAACAGTCATTGATACTCTTCTCTTGATGAGCAGTTACAGGTAGTATAATTAGTTTACCCTTGTTGATAAAGAACACTTCTCTTGTACAATTTAAAAATCAGGACTGTCCAAACCTGATCCTGAAAGTAGAGTGTGTCTTGTGGGTATTCTTGATCTCTGTATCTGAAGAACTGGGAGAAGTAGTTACTTGTATAATGATTAACTGATTTAAGTCATTAAAGGCTGAATTGAATGGAATCTTGCAGAGAAACTGGTCCTTCAAGACATAGTGTGATATTTATGGTTGTGATGACCTAGAAAATACTAAACAACCATGTTTTAGTCTGTCAAGGTAATTAAATTAAATATCTGCAAATTCGAACAGATTGATTGTGCACAGTCACTCATGTAGATACTGTATGAACTGGAAATTAATGAGTAAATAAAAGTCTACATGTGCTGTGTCAACCAGATCAACCAGGAAATGACAACATTTTAATATGAAAATGTACTGCAATATTGTTTTTATCAGATCTTACAGCAAGAGAAGTTCTAACTGAATAACAATAACCAATTTTAAATTGCTAGCCACAGATTTATGTTTTGTGAATAAAATAAACCCCAACATTTTGTTTTACAGCATGCTATTTGAAACACTAAATATATTTTTGTGGCTTAGTCTTTAATTTTAGGACCACTCACATTTTGGCAGACAAGATATTAATTTTACATCCTTATCAGTCACTGATGTAATAATAATGTGCAAGGAGGGAAAATATTTTGCTTCTCTGAAAAATATAGTCTGCATTTTGTGCTATTACTCCCCCGTTGTTTTTCTTAGTGACAGTGTCTTAAGGAAAGCTTTGGTTCTGCAACCATGTTATTGGATGTAACTAATCAGGTTCTGCATCAGCAACTTCTGTTGTTGTTGAATGTTGACAGTTTGGGCTGTGTTGCAGTAACTGAATTGTTTCAATAACTGAGTCCTTCATCTTTGATCAGAGTATCCACTATGTCCCTTTATTGATTAAAAACATCCTCCTTTTCTGACACATAAGGAGAAATGCTAAGAGCACAACTCGTCTCCCAATTCCTTACTGTCTAATGTTCTTGATTCCCTGCAAGTTTAGAGCATCTGTAGTGTAGCTGCATGGAATTGCTTTCTTGGTTTTCCTTAAATGGGGAGTTTTATTTTGATAAAAAAACATTCAGTGATTCTTAGGACAGGTGGGGCTTCTTTATACAAAGGGTTGTTGGAGTATAGAACAAGCTACCCATACCTTATGTTAATACTCATACCATCATGAAATGGCTGGATGAGACCCACAGATCAATTAGCTGCTAAGACAAAACAAGTTAGAAGGTCCAAATGGTCTCGTCTCATTCTCCATCTTTCTTAATGCACTGTTAAACATTTTGACTTGTGCTATGACAAATGTAGTAATGGGACTAAATTATTGTTGTTTTTTCTTTTAGGACAATGGATGCGTTACTTTTCTAGCTCAATAGTCAACAATTTTGGACCTGTAGTATAGTTACATATTTATTGCATTCAAAAAAATTATCAGCAGTTCCAATGCACTCAAAATATTGAATACCACTGCTATGTATTAATTGAGTTCTTTATCTGAATGTTATGAAATTAGAACATTTTGACTGTAAACTACATGCCAAATCGTATGTAGTTGTTAGATTCTTATTACAAGTACTATATTAGTGTTATAATGTATTAAACTATTAAATTGTAAATTTCCAGTTTTGGCACTTGTGGTTTAAAAATCTCAACGTATTACAGTCCCTGTGCCTTTTAGTAGATTCTAGTTGATCTAATATTGTCATTTTATGTTTTTTTGACAGTATATAATGCATTCCCATGTGGTCTGAATATTGACACAACAATGTGAGTGATAGGAAGGTTCTACTGTACAAATCTCCTTTAATGTATAGTATATTACATTTTAATATATAGTATTTACAGATCTATCATGCACCCTAAATTACATACCACTAAGTGTTGCGGTGTATGATTATGTTTTGTTTAAAAAGGATGATTTATAAGTGAAATTTTAGTGCGCAAATCTTAGTATCTCAGCATAGCATTATCTAGTAAACATTTATTTGGAACACCTACATTTTTTTTAACAAAATCTTTTTGAGAAGGTGTCGAAGAAGTGTTGTTTACTATATGTTGTCTACTAAAAAGTTATATGATTCAGTGTTTTCTCAAGTCATTTTTTCTCCTTTTCGTGTCTTTTTTATGTAATGTATTTGTAGTTTAAAAAAATATTTTTTAGAGCCATACTGTGGGAATATCCGTGTTCTGACTTTAGTGTGGTTTAAAGTATTTATTAAAAAAATACTTTTTGTTTTGTAATTGATAAGAACTGAAATAAAACAACCCAAACACTAACCACTAGTAATAGCGTACTCCTTTATCTCTGATATTTGAGAAACAATACAGGTTGGACCATTTAAGCAAAGTGTTAGTTAACCAATCACATGGAATTTATATTTCAGCCTTTTTATGCTTACCTAACATCTATTTTTAAACAAGTGTCTCATGTCAACCGTGGGATTCCTAGTAAGATTACTTCATCGTCATTTCTTTCCGTGCATGAAAACCACACTTTCTGGAATTTTTCTGTTAAAGCCACAGGAGATAATTGATTTGGCTAGTTTTGTGCTTAATTTACAATTAACAGCCACATTTCTCTTCCTTTACATATCGCTGGGAGAAATGGGTTTTTTTCCAAATTAAAGTCTGTCAGTGGAAACAGGATGCCAAGAGTAATAACTTATATGGCTTTAAGCTAAAACAGCTAGTACACATTTGAAAATTAATTACTGTCATTTACATGATGCTGCAGATTGAAAGTTTTGTAACAGGCTATTTACATTCAATAAACTAAGCTAAAAAATGCAGTTCTGTAATCTATAAGAAAGACAAACATGTACTATGCTTTCAGACTGCACATGGATCTGGAGACCTGATGCTCTTGGTCTCTTACAGGTACCTGCACTTCAACCAGATAGAAACCTTGGAGCCAGAATCATTTACTCACCTTCCAAAGCTTGAACGACTGTGAGTATTTCATGTTCTATACGTTTGGGCACACACTTACATTTTGTGGTGAACTAACATTTCATTCTCCAGCTTTTAAGAAAAAACAGCATTTTTCAAAATGGCTAGTTTATTATTGGAAAAGCTTATTAGATTTTGTTTTAATTTTGAGTAATGACAGTTCATAGTAATACAGCATAATCGAGGAGTTTGTGGGAGTGGAGGGATATATTTCTAAATTTGTTGGCATTTTTAAAAATAGTCCTTTTTAATTACTCATATCATTTGTGTGAATTTTCAAACTTATTTAAAGATGGCAAGGTTGTCAAATAATATATGCCAACATATTCATAAATTAGGAATCTATTCCCTACCCTTATTTATGTATTTGTTCCTTACTGATTAACTGTGTTATAAACTGCAGTATTAGAGCTTCTTTATGACTAATTGGAACACTTTATTCAGCTACTTTTCTACCTACTATTGTCCTGCTCTAGCATGTTAAAATAAACAGTTAAATACTTGCTCAATCAGTAACCATCCATAAATGAACCAGATGCTAGGATTTGGAACAAAATAGATTTCCTATGAATGTGATTATGGGCCTACACTGGCTAGTTTCTAGAATCCAAGGACTTCCAAAATGTGAACCTCAATACAATGCAGTTACTTTTAGCTCCCAAAGGGATGATTTGCTTCTGCAGGTGTGGTTTCATAAGTTCACAGATCCAAGTGTAAAACCTCATTATAAAAACATGTCTCAAAATAACTTGTAAGCTTATTCTCTCACAGTTCTATACTGAAAGTCATTTTCAGTTTCTCCTCTTTCCTGCCGGACAACTGCTGTAGGAAGGCTATTCCCTGCGAACATCTTGGTCTGGTATTAGAACTATAGCAGATCTGTTTTAATGTAATGCTGAACTGAAAACATAAAAACACAAATTGAATTTCTGTCTGCCATTTGTTGAAAGCATACAAATCTAAAATTGTAACCATTAATGTGCCAGGATGTTTAGAATACCCAACCCTATTGCTGAGCTTCAGAGTAGCTTTGATTTACTACTACAGTCCAATTATAAAACTAAATGTAAGTGTTTGAGGCTACCAGCTCTCCGGGGATGCAGATCAGTACCCACAACAGAAAAGGAACCAATAAACTCTCCCATCTGACATTCCTGTCCTGACTTACATTACTGTAAGATTGATTATGCATAGTAATACTATTATGCATAGACTGTAATCTTTTAAATTTCACAAAGCACGAAAATATAAACAGAAACTAGACATTTTATTACAGAAAATGGAAATGCAATAAGAAACATTAACATTAATCTGTATAGACATTAAATAGGGAGCTGCATCAGTATGAGTAGGCTGCAAAGGAGCCTTTCCATGCTGAAAGGTAAAGGAAAGAACAACAACGAGCCTTCTTCAAGTGTGTAAATCTCTGGGCATTTGTAAATATTGCCAGTGGTTGCATCGTTGCCATGTTACAGCCTCATTCTGCCAGATCTCAGGAGCCGAATAAGGCTGGGCCTGGTCCATACTGGGATGAGAAAACCCCAAGGAAATTCTTCTTGCTGCTGCAAGTGTTGGGCCAATGCATGATGTTCTTCCCACTAGACCAGAAGTTTCAAAATCAGTGTCCTGGTATGTTTGCCAGGGAAATGGTGTTGTAGTCTTTCAGATAAGGCTTTAAACCTGGGATATTTAATAAACACTTGTTTATTAAATATCTCATGGCAGCTTTCAAAAGAGTAAAAAGAAGTGTGTTTTAAAAGAGTAAATTCTACTTTGGGTTTGTATAGTGTGACCTGAAGTGACCTGTTAATTCAATTGGCAAAGTAATTTCTCATTTTTCATCCTCAACTGCTGTATGTTGAGACTACTGGCACACAATGGCTGCTTTGCTTCAGCTAGGTGGGTGCTGCCCAGCAATTAAGTGGATTTCCCCCCTTTCTATGAAAATCACTTTTGAGATCTTTAGGGATCCTTAGGTAAGTATAAAGAATGACTAAATTTAATTTAAATCTAAAAATTAAGGAATGAATACCATACAGTTTAGATCAGAAACTGAGGAAAACAGAAGTAATGGAGCTTAAAAAACTATGGAGTATGGACCATTAAGGAATAATTAAATTGCATTGTAAGAGTTTTAAAGCTGTAGGGGATGTGTGAATACAGGCCACACTCATCGATGATGGTAAGAATGTAGTTGAAGGGTCACATTGTCTCAAGAAGAGGTGTTAATTGCAGGCAGTAAGGCTGTCAGTATTTAAACAGCTGCAGAGGAAAAGCACAGCTGTTCCTCATCTCCTGAAAAACACATTCTCTACATCAGGTATAGTATACATTCACAAAACTTCAAAACATGCTTTTAAAAACCAGTCATTTGCAGCTTGTATACTGCATCCTGGAAGGGCTCCAACAGCCAGATTGCATCTGTGGTAACTGCCACAAAATCCAGATACTGAATGAAAAGGATAATGCACTGGAGAAGGAACTTAAAGAACTGAATGTGCTCCAAGGGACTGAGGAAATGAGAAAACCATTCAAGGAAGTGTGCACCCTGGATTGGCAGAGAAACATGTAGAAAAAAAATGAGAGAAGCTGGTCCCAGGTGTTGAAATTAAATACATTTCAGCAACCTACCTAGCATCACATCACCAAACAGCTTTGTTCCACTCCAAGACCTCAACTCAGATGTGAGAGTTCAAGGCCAGGACACCTCCATTGCTGACCAGAAAACCCAGAATGTGACTACAACTACTGTCAGCTGTACTACAGAAGGAGAAATGGTTCAGAACACCACAACTGTTATTTTTAAGGAATGCTTCCAGCCCAAGGCAAAAGTGAAAAACCACAAATATTAATCATATCACATCTGAACAAAGTAGACACCTACTGTATGTCGTCTTGAAACAAGGATCCACAAAGAAGACCAGGAACATTTACACTACAAATGAAAGAAACAGTTTAAATGAGGTAGAATGAACTTAGATGGATATGTTATCAGAGGAAAAATGGTAGCATCTTTAAAAGGGTCTGCTTGAATATCTGAAGAGTTAGCAACTGAAAAACTGAAAATAAACAGTACCCGAAATGGTTAAACAAATCATTTTAGAAAGTATAAGGGAAAATATAGCACTTTATAGAATACTTTAAAACAACAGGACCCAATTAAAGAAAATTACAATTAATTGCAATCACAGATTAAAGAGCAAATTAGGCTAAGAAAGAAAGTAAAAAATGAAATGGTCAGGTTTACTTGGATCGAGTAAGTGTACCCAAAACAACAATGGTAAACTTCTCGATGATGGCTGATTCACTAAGGAAGAAGTTGACAGCTTGCCTTAGGCAGCACAACAAAGTCAGGAAACTAGTCATGATTGCAGATGATACCAAATTAGCAGGATTAGCTAACACTGTAGAAGAAGTAGATGAAATTCAAAAAGATGAAGATAATCTTCAAGACTGGACAAACACCTGGCTGATGATGTTTAATTTAGACAAGTACAGGGTTTTACATGCAGGATGTAAAAACAAACTATAAATACCAAATGGGAAATGCTGAGCTTGAAGAGGCTACTTATGAAAACTTGGGTGTATACAGTATGTTGACACATTATTTGCAGCTTACAGTATGGGGAAGCTATAAATAAGGCACACAAAATATTAGGCTATACAGTCAGAAGTGTAGAATGTATACAAAGGACTTTTGTGTCAAAATTGTTAAGCATTCTAGAAAGGCCTTATTTAGAATATCCTGTACAATTTTAGTCACCATGTTACAAAAAAGATATTTCTGCTCAGAAATCCAGATCAGGAAGAGCAACCAGATACATTCTGGGACGTGAAAGAATGTCCTGCACTTACAGGCTGATAGAACTGAACCTTTTTTAGTCCTGAACAGAAAAGACTATGAGACGATCTGATTCAAATATTCAAAATCATCAAAGGCATTGACAAAGTCAACCCAGGGGACTTCATCAAAATGAACACTGAACCACAAACCAGAGGCCACAAATGGAAACTGAGTTGAAGTGGATTTAAAACTGACAACAGAAGGCACGTCTTTAATCAAAGGGTTGTGGGGGTATGGAATAAGTTCCCCAACCTTGTGAAAGAAGCTGATAATTTGGGTTTCTTCAAGAAGTGGCTAGATGTGATCCAAACAGCCCTGAAGGGCCAAATGGCCTCCTTTTGCTTTTTACCGTTCATGTGTTCTATTATATTTGATAAAAAGCCTTCTGTGTGTCATATTGACAATGAATAGCTATGGATTATTTTTCCAATTTTGGTCATACTTTTTTCCCTACGGGATTAATAAAGTATTATCTATCTATACTTAGTCCACTGCATGCAAGATTGCACATTGTTACCTTTTTGTGTCCATTCCAGTTAGGTGTATATTTTCCCATTGTAGTCCAATGGTGTCAACATTTCTTCCCACTGTATTCCTTGTGGAAAGTTGTGGACACTCACATTCCCTTTTCCCATCATATGGGACATTGCTCATGACTGTGTTTAGATCTTTGGTTCCACACGATGGAGATGACCTTCAGATAGACTCTGTGAAACCCCCCATCTCAAAACATTTGAGCTCTTAGTTTGATCTGAGGGAAAGTAAGTGTTGTATTGAGAACTCAATGCCTTCCACCTGTGCCAGCTGAGAAAGATAAGTATATGGATTTGGCGGAGCAGGTGGAATTAATTGAATCTTCCATCAAGTATTTTGGCTCATTGCCATGTTTCGTAGCACTACAAGAAGACTGTATACAGGTGCTTTCTTGGCAAGACAATTATAATAAAACTGTCCATCTTCTCTTCCTCTTACACTGTATTGTTGCACCTATTGCACACTAAAATCGTAAAATGATCATTACCTCATTAATAAAATAACCACATTTATTGTTAAAAATTAATTTGGTTTCCTTGATAAATGAGCTTTCAGTCTGTAAACACTAATTAGAGCCACTACATTTGTGATGTAAACAGCTAATTTTTGTTGAATGTATTTGTTTTTAATGGTATATTTAAGCTCTGCCGCATGTGTGAAATGTCCATATATAGTCCTCAGTGCACTTTTTTCAACCTGAAAAAGACAGATATGGTGAATTCATGAATTCAGAATTCTGTCAGAAGTAATTTAATCTATTGAAAAGTCTGAAACGTTTGTGAAATTAAACGTTTGTGTGTTTGGAAATCCCAGCTGAAAGTGGTGCACCAACATTTTGCACTGTGGTGTATTTGGGGTTTATTTTAATTTATTATATTCAGAAAAGACTTGCAGAACTGTTTCTTTGTGTACTACCATTGTAGTATTTTTTTTTTCTTTACAGATTTTTGCACAACAACAGAATAACACATTTAGTACTGGGGACATTCTCACATTTGCAGGCCATGAAGAGGCTGTAAGTAATACTTTTTGTTTTTGTTTTCATATTATTAAGTGTATAAACGAATGACACCTTATATTATTGTGATATTGTATTCAAGAAGATTCTGCATAATCGGCCTTAAAATACTAAAAGCATCCAGGGGGAAAAAGATGCTTGCTGGATGTAAGATTTATCTATCATTTTTGGCTGGAAATACAACTGAATTACACAATATTATACAACACAATTTTAAAGAAAGGCCTGTGCTGGTGCTATATTTAGTTCACTTATTTTAAGGCCAAGTCTAAAGAGACCTTAATTTATCTCTTAGAGTGGGACCATTTCCATATTTGCGGGGATTGCTTTTTTCTCTGATATAATGATGACTGCAGGCTCTTCTGCCTTGAGAAGCATGTACGCAGAAGAGTAGGAAGCAGCATAGCTTTGAATTGAATTAACTGATAATTTTATAAGCCTTTGTGTGCACTTTGACAAAGCTGAAGCATGTATAATCTGAATAATTTAGATTGTGTAGCTTAATAATTGAGTTAATTCTCCTCTTGGCTTGCAACTTTAAGTGTAGCTTGGCAATGCAGCAGTCAACTTTAGTTCAGATTTCATATTTTGAAATTAAAGTTGGTTGATGAAATTGGAAAATGCTTTCTGAATTATATTTCCAAAATTGGTTTGAAATGTAGGTACCTAAATGCCTGTAGTTCTTGTCAGTGTTAAAAGTTATATTTTAGTCTGAAATTCTGTCCTTACCTTTAAGGAACTGTCAGTGACCTGTAAACTCAAACTTGAGGTATTTATGTTAATCTTCTGTGATCTGTAAGTGACTTTGAGACCCCTGTGATCAGTACTATGATCTGATCTCCTCAGCTAGAAATGTTTATAAAAGCATGTAGCCAAGGGCTAAAGATTTAAGGATCTAAGGATAAAATGTAATCATTCAAGAAAACTCCTCATCACAATGAGCAAATTAAAGCACTTATATGTAATGTTAATTCCATGCTAAAAAGTGCAAACAAAGCAAAATTACAACATTTCCACAATCTAGCCTTCTTCAAATATGATGCACAGATGTTACTCGCCTGATAAATATAGTACATGTTGCTATAGATTTGTTCCATGGAGCTTAGAAATTGTAGATACTCGGCTAAACTCAAAACATTCCTGGATCCATGCATTTATGTGAAGCACAAATTGTGTGAGCAAGAAGGCAAAAGCCTCAGGATGGTTTACCATCTTAATGTATTATCTGGTGAAATCAGCAATTACCACAACAGCCACCTACGATATTAAAAAAAAAAAACTGTTACAGGAAAAGTAGTATGTTGAGGTACCAGGTATCACAAAAGACGTCTTAAGATATTTCTACAATTTGTCAACACCAAACTTTTAATTGCCCAGTACATTCTTCCACGAACCCTCAAGGGTTACCAAGTGTCGTTTTTCCATTTGTTTTCCCGTTCAGACGTTTAGATTCCAATACTCTGAACTGCGACTGCGAGCTCCTCTGGTTGGCTGATTTGCTGAAGCAGTACGCAGAGTCTGGAAATGCACAGGCTGCTGCTACTTGTGAGTATCCCAGCAGACTGCAGGGAAGGTCTGTCGCCACTCTCACAGCTGAGGAGCTCAACTGCGGTGAGTGCTACACAAAAGACCCCAGTTCAGTCAACCTTTCACTGGAATCCATGTCAGTTACACCGAGCATCGCTGTTTTTTTAAAGAAACTGACAAAAGCAATGACAAGCTGATGGGCAGAGAAATGGCTTTTGAAAACAGGTTGAGTTGTCATTCAGGGTTTCTTCAAGTCCCTTGTGACAGGAATTTTAGTGTGTTTATCTAGCATTTAGAGTTGATAAAGCTGGCTTTAGTGTCATGACACATCAGGTATGGACATATACAGTAAATTCCTGACATTCACACTCACATGTTTATGCTTATACTGCAATCTAATTAGATATTTAGTCAATCGGTGCCACAGATAATATATAACGTTTCAGCTTCTTGATGCATAGCTCGAGTTACATGGCCCTTTTGAAAAAGAAGCTTAGTTGCTCAAGTTCAGGAGAAAATCTCAGACTTTTGTAAACACCAGGTTTAAACACAAACTGTGCTCCAATGTATCCCATTCCATCGCGGCTAATAATGCAGCACTCCTTTGTCGTGGGGCATTCTTTCTGAGTCTATCAAACCAGCCGGGTAAAGTCCAAGGTAAATTGTTCTGTCATTATTGGGTGTTATGTGTTAATGTGATCCATTGAATTATTTAACTGTTTTCTGCTTACTGTGTCTGGGGCTTACTTTGGCTTTTCTGCAATGTCCCTTATCAGGACAGCCAAATGTATAATGTCATCAATTCTGTTACAAGCTGAATGTTTTCCCATGAATCACTTAATGTTCATATCAAAACGGGGGCCAGTTTTTTTGTTTCTAAATACATATTATTTTGTTTATTGTTGTGAGGCAGGAAGCAGGTCATATTTGTAATATGCCTTGCAAAATCTCTGTATCACCATCTAATCGTAATACTTGATCTTCTTTTTGGTTTATGGTTTTGAGTAAATAAGACCAGACTTATTTATGAAGTACCTATGTCATAACCCTGAAGGTCACTAGTTTCATTTTTTTTACAATGAATTGAAAGATAAAATGCAGTCATTTCTTTTAAATGATATTAAGTTTTCTAAGACCATTGTATGAGTAATATAAGATGCATATTTGTTCTGATGCCAGTATAACTGATATTTGATATACATTTTCTGTTACACATAACCTGCTTTTGATTTTTGGGTGGAATTTGTTTTTTTTTAATTCATACCATGTTTTACAAGGAAATGCCACATACTGGAGTGTTAAGCTTTGGTTTGTGGTGGAATGTGGGATGTTTTATTAGGGCTCTGGTTGAGCAACATTGACAAAAACATGTACTGTAACACTCTTGTTATTATAACCAACCTGAACCATAAGCTTGGTGTGTAGGATAATGCCATATATGAACTTTTAGAAAATGTAATCTTTTATTATTGGGGGGGGGGGGGTGAAGAGGATCTAAAACCAACAAAATATTGAGTGTTTAAAAAGTTGTCTGTAATGTGAGGCTTTAAAAAGCATTGAAGGATAACACTTCTGCTGTAGTATTCCAGAGGTGTGTTGATAAAAGTTACTTTACAGTAAGTCCTTTCTTAAAGTCACTTAAAACAAATCTTGACCATAGAACAGAAATTTCTTGTGCATTTTCATTCTAGGCATTCCCCAGATAAATGATCTCCTCAACACTTAACATTCAATTTTCTTATCAGATTCTTGACTGTTTTTTCTATTTTAGCTCAGTTTTCTGTTGCCCTATTTTAATTTGCTTTTATGTCTCTTGAATGGATCGATTTTGCTGAATATGATAAAAAAAACAGCACACTGGGTCCGTGTTTTAAAAAGTGTTGAGTTTTATGTCAGAGCATTTAATGAGAATATATGGATAAATATTGTATATATATAGGCAACATTTATGAAAGTGATAATTTTTTGTTAATTGCTAATGTTAATTGCTTTTCACAAAGACATTTTCCTATTTTCCGTAGGATATTGCGATTATCTTACCTATGATGATTTTTGGTATGGTAGCATGCATTGTTATTCAAAGGGTTATGTTGACAGCTCTGTATAACAGTAAGAAGGGATTTTTTAAAACCTTTTTCTTTAGGCATCTGTAGTTTGTGACACTTAACTCATTCTTTTTCTTTTTCTCAACCATAGGGCTGCTGATAATGCACACCTAGACAGAGAACTTTTGTTTCATATATAGAAGGGATCATTATTCTTGCTGCCAACAGTTTTATAAACCAGGCTAAACTCCATGTCACCAATCTAAGTCTGCTTGGTTTGGTGCCCAGACATTATTTCTTGCTGCCAATGCCTTTTAGGTAGTTATATCTGCTTTTGGGCTGAAACCTTTTCAGTTGACTGGGCTGTTAAGGAGAAATTTTCAAGATGCCAGCAGCTGTTTGATAATTCCATGTACATGCAAGTGTGCACTGCATGCTAAATCTTTTACACCCTGTTACTCAGAGATACCAAGAATTACTTCAGAGCCCCAAGATGTTGACGTTACCTCAGGAAACACTGTGTACTTCACCTGCAGAGCAGAAGGAAACCCTAAACCGGAAATTATCTGGCTAAGGAATAAGTAAGACTTTCATATCTGTACATATTCTCACTTCAGAATGTTGTTCGGCAAAACAGTTTTACATTTTTATTATGTTATTTTTAAATAAAGATTTTTAGTTTGATCTTTCTGGTAGTGTGAACCCCAATTTAGCAGTCAGCAGTAACTGCGGCTCATTTTCATGATACCTTGAAGCTTCCAAATGTAATTCATGCCTTTCATGCCATCTCCTAGATAACTTAATAGTGTACCTATATTTTTTAGAATGACTAACTTGGCCATTTTTGCTGACATATTTTTCTTTTTCTTTTAGCAATGAATTGGACATGAGGGATGATTCTCGTCTGAATTTACTTGAAGATGGTACTCTGATGATCCAGGACACCCGAGAGACAGATCAGGGAGTTTACCAGTGCATGGCTAAAAATGTGGCAGGAGAGGTGAAAACTTCACAGGTCACTCTTCGATACTTTGGGGCACCATGTAAGTTTGCATAAATGTCCATCTCATAGTTTATTCATGGGAAACATCCATATTTTAGCATATATCTAGATGTGGTCTCAAAGGCAATTCACCTTGTGGAGAACACTTTTCCAACAGAATGTTTCATTGGTTTCTGCAGCTGTTGGCAGCTTTTTTAGAGTGCAGAGCTAGACGATTGCTTTATTTTAATGGGTGCCTGAGGCTGAATCTAAGGAGTAAATAATATTTGTCTACTCAATAAACTCATATCAATTCTATGGATTGATCAGATTAAAAGAATTATATAGAACTGGAGCACATGGGAGCAGAACGGTGGCACAGTGGTTAACATTGCTGCATAGCAGCACTGGGGTCCTATCTCACTGTGGTGGCGTGGGTTTCCTCCAGGTACTCCGGCTTCCTCCCACAAGACATACTGGTACCTTAATTGACTCCTGGGAAAATTGGCCCTGGTGTGAGTGTGTAAATGTCTGTGTCTGTGCCCTGCAGTGGACTGTGTGTATCCTACCTTGTGCCTGTTGCTTGCTGGGAACAAGCTCCCGCTTCCCCACGACCCTAAATTGGAAAAAGCGGTTAGAAAAATTGTGGATGGGTGGAACCAAATTGGATACTCATGGGTGCTTTCTAGCCGAAATTCTTTTTAGTTTGTATTTTGTTAGGGAAATGCTCGTTTACCTACGTAACATGATACCAGTGCAAGTTAAGATGTCTTTTAAAAAATATGCTTTTTTCTTTTTCTCCCAGCGCGGCCAAGCTTCGTCATCCAGCCCCAGAACACCGAGGTGCTGGTGGGGGAGAGTGTGACCCTGGAATGCAGCGCCGCAGGGCAGCCTCATCCGCGCATCTCGTGGACCAAGGGGGACAGGACACCGCTGCCCACGGACTCCCGCATCGCTATCACCTCTTCTGGAGGCCTCTACATACAAAACGTCAATCAGGCCGACGCGGGACAGTACACGTGTTTTGCAAGCAATAATGTTGACACCATTCATGCCACAGCCCAAATCATAGTACAAGGTAAAGGATAAGGTAGATCTGCTTGGAACTGTCAAGTTTAGTGTTGTGTAACTAGAAGAAAACCCTCATTGGAGGGCAGCCATACCAGATTTTTAAATAGCCCATTTTATTTAAGATAAAAGGGGCTTATAGTCTTGTGGTTATATTTATTCTGCACAGCAGAAGGATTTATGCAGGAGCAGCACCAGGCGTCTTTGCCTTGTCTTTGACCTTAGCGTAGAACCTGAGCCACAGTTGTTCAGTTGTTCAGCTCTTAACCTCTAGGCTGCATCATTTTCTTTTAGGTGCTGATTTCGTTCAAATCGTTACTTTGTCCTGATGAACCTCAGGCAATCATGTGTTATAACCTGGTGAGCTTACTCTTCTTAGTTTGCGTTCACCGCCATAAACCACAATTTCATTTTAAAAAGCAATACCCATTGTAACTGCACATTCCAGCCCCTTCAGCACACATGCAGCCTGAAAATATTTTTGACCCTCTGGGATAATCCTTAACGAGTCAGTGTAAGTCCCGTGTAGTATTGAATCACGTTAACTTGTCCTACAGCTCGGATGTTTGGCTTTACTTTTCTAGAGAAAAGGTTTCGAGGAGTTCCACAGTGTTGCATTAACCCACCATTCACGTCAATCCAAATGGAACTGGAAATAAAACATTGTGTGCCACCCAATTCAAACAGTCTTCTCTGCCAAAGACTTCAAATTTCATGCTTAGCTTTACAGTAAACATTGTGGATGAAATTACTTAACCTCTAATTTACAATCTTCCCAAAAATATGAGAATTACTAATAAAAGTGAACTCATCTGTCTAATACTTTCTAAAAGTGTTTTTATTTTTCAGGATAAAGTTTTAAAGCAGTACATTTTTTTTTTCAGTTTCTCTGTTTTAAAAAACACAAATTAGTCATTTAGTTCTTTTTGTTTTGGTGCTTTTTCAGCCATACCTCAATTTACTGTAACACCTCAAGACCAGACTGTGTTGGAAGGGCACACTGTGGACTTTGTCTGCGCAGCACAAGGAAATCCCCAGCCAGTCATTGCCTGGACGAAAGGAGGTATGAAAAATTATTTTAAGTGTTTTAAGTTTATGTGCCAATTGATATTCATTGAAATTGTCTTTTGCAATGCTTGCTGAAAGCCAAGCTTCTGTTATTCTCTGGTGCCAACGCATATGCCTTGAAATTCTATTGTTTTATTCTGTTTTTTTTACCCCTAAACTGCACTCCAAAGTGCTGCTTTATCTTTGCTCCCAAGTCTTAACAAAGTCAGATACCTGAAGAAACAGCAAGACACATTCAGGCCCTTGTGAAGTACTCAGACCCTTCCTCTTTTTTTTTAATTTCGAGAAATTACAACAAGACACATTTTATACAATAAATATTTTATTCAAAATATGACTTCTCAAAATGAAGAATTGTAAAGGTAAGCTAAATTATTAACACATAGATTCAACAAATATATTCCGATCAGAGAATATAATGTTTTATGAAAGCACTTCTGGCAGCAATTAAAGCTGCCAATCTTTGTGGTCAAGTCTCTACAAGTTTGTGCACTGGCTTGGTGCAGTTTCTCACCATTCTTGTCACATTTGCTCGAGCTCTCTCTGTTTACTTGGGCATTTCTAATGGTTAGCCATTTTTCAAAGATTTTCAAGTCACACATTTGACTGGGCCACTTAAGAACATCGCTTTCTTATTCCTAAGCCACTCCAGTGTATCTTTGACCTAGTTCTTTGGGTTTTTGTCACAGTTTTCACAGATTTCCCTCTAAGATTTGGCAGTACTTTGCCCCATCTATGTTCCCATCAATCTGAGCAAGCTTCAGAAATAATATTTTGCATTATCCCAAAAGTTCCAGTTTTGTCTTCTCTCACCACAAAACGTTTTGCCACATGTTTTACAGGATCACTCAGGTACTTGTTTGCAAACCCCATGCAGGATTTCACATGACTTTGTTTCAGTTCCCCTTTGCTGGAGTGACTAGAACATTATAGATCCATGGAAATGTTATCCCATCTCAACCACTGAACTCTGTAATTCTTTCAAAGTGCCTTATAGTGGCACCCTTAAACAGTTCCCTCAATGCTCAGTGGCTCAGTTTGGAGGGACAGCCTGATTTGTTTATTGTCTGGGTGCTTTCCACTTCTTGGTGATTGTCTTATTAAGCAATTGTCTTTGAAATGTTTTTATATAACTTTATCCATGGGATGTCTTGAAAGCTCCTTAGTCTTTGGTTTAATCTTTTCTTGAAAATCACTACCTGACTGAGGGACCTTAAAAAGATAGGTGCATTTATTTTGAAATCATGTGAACCACTATTATTGTATGCAGAAAGAGACCACTCAGCTAATTGTGTGGCTTATTAAGGTAATTTTATGTACCTAAATTAATTTAGATATTTAACAGCAAAAATATGATTTTTTTTGTTTTCCTGTAATTTTTATAATCTACTTTTTGCTTTTTTGTTTTCAACATGTGGAGCAGGTGATGTATATATCCAATATTAATTGCTATTTCAACATGTTGTGACTGTAAGCTTTAAAGTCGTGCAGGAGTCTGGACAAGGCATTGTACATTCATTTTGAGAAATAGGGTTTCTTAAAGCCAGTCCTGGAATGCATCAGTCCTGGCCAAATTTCCCATTAGCCTTTGCCAATAATCCTCCTAATAATCCCCATATTGGAATTGGCTTGATCACTTTGTTCTCCTCCCTACTGATAGCTGGTGTGTGGTGAGCATATTGGTGTACTATGGCTGCCGTCGCATCATCCAAGTGGATGCTGCACATTGGTGGTAGTGGAGGGGAGTCCCCATTACCTGTAAAGTGTTTTGAGTGACGTGTCCAGACAAGATTTATATATACGTGTAAGGAATAATTAATTATTATTAGTAGTAGTATTCTAAGTCCTCAAAGGCAGTGAATGACAAACCAGTGCACGCGAGTGAAAACTCTGTAGAAGTGCTTGAGTCCAGGGACACGTCTTTCCTGTGGGAGTCTGGATCAAGCTATCCAGCCATGTTGCTGAAGCTGATGCCCTGGCTTGTTTCACAAAACCGCTGGGTAACATCTTTGGATCCGTTAACTACTTACTACCTAATCGGCCAAATGGCCTCTCTAATTTGTGACAGTTTGTGACATAAAGAAAAGGTAAAGTCTCTTAGCCCCATCACATTGTTGTTTTTTTCAATGCGTTGTAGAAATGTAATTTTGACTGCGTGATAAATACTGATTTTGTCCATGTGTTTCATAAAGAAAGTACCTGCGTCTAACACTTTTCTTGGTGAATGTGTGCCAGGGAGCCTGTTGCCAGCAGACAGGAGACATGCTGTCCTCTCGAGTGGAACTCTAAGAATTGCCCGAGTAGCTCTCCATGACCAAGGCCAGTATGAATGCCAGGCTGTCAACCCTGTGGGCTCTGTAAGAACCATTGCTCAGCTAACCATACAGCAAAGAGGTAACCTTTATTTTACTCTCTGTTTCTTGTGCTGCATACCACATTGTGACAAATGTTAGTCTGTGTTCTGGATAATCTCTATAGATAGCATATCTTATTTGACTGCATTTTATTGACAATATTTTGGTCATCAGAGAGTTAAATTTGCACATTCTAGTTGGAGTAGGGTTTATTTGCTATTCAGTACAAGCTCTTTAAGGCTTCTGTAATGATTATTTGTTGTGATGATACCATAAACATTCAGTACTGTCAAGCAGTACTTTGGGATATGGGACCATGCAGCACTGTGCAGGAGGTTCAGTGCCAACTGGAGGAGAGGCCTGTTCCTCAACCACAGTACGTCAAGCCTCCAGATCCTCAGAATGCCACAGGTGTTGCTGTGTCTCCAGGAGCCAAGAGGGTTCCTGGTTAACTTATGCCACCCTACCCTTACTAGCACTTAGCCACTTGTGCGCTTCCACCAGGGGAATCCCAGTTATAGTCACTAGTGACATGACCCAGGCTTGAACCCGGGACACCCACACCATTGACTTCAACTGAGGCTCAATCAAGCGCTGTTCCAAGTTTAGCCAATTTTTTTCAAATTATGGTTTTACTTAAATGTATTTCCAGTGCCTTTTTGTTTCAAGTTTATTTTCTGTATGCTAAAGAGAGATTCAGAAAGGAAACAAAAACATATTGTATGTTCCTAATTTTAATTTACACAGAAGATGGTTTACATATAAGTCAACAATGGCTACGCAAAGCCCAGATGACAGATATTTGGTTAGTTCTTTCTTTGCTGAATTACAGGGCTGTTTTGTGGGTTTCAGTTGTGGAGCTACCCAGAAAACCACTGAGCTCTGTAATTCTGGAATGACAAGATGTGTTCCTTATAGTAATGGTTACCAGCATCATGTTGAAACACAGAGCTTAACAATTATCTTCAAAACAGCAGCCTGAGGGAGTACTTTGCCTGCAAGGAAACAAACTAATAAAGATAGAAACATACAGAATGAAACAAATATTTTACTTCTATTGTATTTTTCCCTACTTGCCTTCCTTGTTTGAAGGAGATGCTGTGTACTGTAATGTACAGTAAATATTAAATATATTCAAATTCATGTTATGAATGCTTTACTATTTATTTTAGTCTTATTTTTATGGTACCTCCTAAAAGAAATGTCAGAGAGTGCAGGGCATTTTGGTTGAAATATAAAAGGCTGTCTTACAGAGACTATTCTGTTGCAAAGGTAGTCTGAGGTCAAAGAAGGAAAACAACAGCCCAGGAAATCACACAGTCAGAGCTGCAGGCTTCGAAATGAATTAATCTTTATTATCAGTTCTAGAGCTGACCAAAGATATGTAAACAATTTTTAAATTATCTTGCATATTGGATAGAAAATGTGATAGAAAACCTCCCAAAAAGCAAAAATGTAATTATTAACACATGTTTTTAAATCATCAGTAACGCCTGTTTTCACAAATGCTCCAAGGGACATGACGGTGGATTCTGGCAATGATGTGCAAATTCCATGCCGTGCTCAGGGAGAGCCCGAGCCAGTGATTACATGGAACAAGGTTAGAAGTCTGACACGGCTGAGATTTTGCTCTTATGTTAAATGTGCCTTGTAATAATGTAGTATCTGTCGAGGCCCTGTTTTTGCACTGGTTATGTCAACAGTCTGATATCGAAATCAGTTTTTAATCAGTTCCTAAAATATAAAACGTGTGAAATGACCCAATGGATACTGTGGAGGTGTGTATGTTCATGTATGTTTTTTGTGTGACTGAGAGAAAAATATATTTGTCAGGGAGCTGACTTGTTTGGGAATCTTTTCACTTTTTGACTTGTTTGGGAATCAATTTTAAAGGCAAGAGAAGATCCATACTGCTTAACCTGAGTTACCATGAGAAAGTCAAAAGTGACTGTTGATAAGTCAGAAAAATATAGTTGCCGACTTCTTACATTCCAATTTACATTTTAGAAAATATATTATTTGATTTTGCTTCACCCATTCCAAGAGCGTATTTATAGCTTTTTGAACTCATGTTTGATCCACTCTCATCGAGCCTGGTATTTCAGCTGGGCTGGATTCAAGAAACTGACAAAACGGACTCATTAGTTCAAGCAGGTAGCTGCGTCAGCATGCTAGATCCATACTGCAAAGGAACAAGTTGAAGGTTAATTCTATGCTGAAAGGAGAAGAAAGGAAACACAACGTTTCAGCTGTGGAGCCTTCTTCGGGACCCGACAACATTATCCCTGTGCTTTTCTTGTTACAAGGCTAAACACCATACTTGTGCTTTTCATCCTTCGCTTTAGAACAAGGCTGTCCAATTCTTGTTCTGCACGGTCAGTGTGTCTGCAGGAATACTAAGTCTCTTTAGAGTAGCACTACTTAAAGAGCTGGAAGCCGTTTAATTTGTCCAGTTAAGCCACTAATTAGCTGATTTACTGTAGCTTTGTAAGAAGATAGCTAGAGTGAAAGCCTGTAAACACACCCTTCCTCCAGGACCAGCACTGGATAGCCCTTCTTTAGGGTCTGACAGAAAGTGTCTTTCGGGCCTGTTCTTGCCTTTAAAACTATTAAGTTAAGAACTCCACACTCTAGTGCACAACTCTTTTAGAAAAAAAAAGTAGACTGGAAACAAAATCAAGGAATTATATATTTTTCAAAAATTATATTTTTTCCACTTCTCGTATCTGTTTTTTTTAAATCCAGGACCAGTTAGGTTTCAGAACATATGTCAGTGTTTGTGTACATGTCTACAAAATAGGAATTTTATCAGATTAAAAGAATGTTTTTGTTGTGAATAGTCACTCAGTACTTGTAATAAGTTGTTCTTCTCTTTGTTCTGTTCCATGTTCCTTCAGGAAGGTGTACAAATTACAGAAAGTGGGAAGTTTCACATAAATCCTGAGGGATTCCTGGAGATTCAGGATGTGGGGCTTGCAGATGAGGGCCGATACGAGTGTGTTGCTAGGAGCACCATTGGATACTCATCTGCCAGTATGGTGCTGACCGTCCAGGGTAAGCTGGCTCAGGTGTACTGGCAAGGGTCTTGTTCTGAAATGAATGATACTTACCCTGAAATTTAGTGGAGTTCAGTCTTGTGAGTAGGTGTCGGACCGTTAGACCTTTCTGGAATTCTGATTAAAGCTTTTAATGTGATTAAGACATCTAACAATCTAAACGATAACTTATATAATATATATGTAAGAACACCAACATTATAAGAAAAATTGATACTCAGCTGAAATATTTTTATAACTAGCCCAATTTAACGAAAGTCAATGGAAATCTTCAATTATAATTAAGAAATTTCAGTAAACCTTAAGTATTTCATGAAGTATCGTAAAAACTATAGTACAGAAGGCCTATATGTTATATGCGAGTCCCTTGTTAAGTTTTGGATAGAATACATCCAATACATTCACCAATATTGTATTTAATCATCGATGGAAATTTGTCTAATGATACTAGAAAGTTAAAGTGAAACTGTTAGATTTGCAAATGCAAAACCTTTCTTAATACTTTTTTTCATGATTGTTTATAAGTATATAAACAATTTGAAAGGTATTAAATATAGCATTATATTCCTCTTAAGGTATACTACAATATGAGGCCACATGATATACTATAATGTATGCCCATTCTTCTCTGGAGCTCTAGAGCCAGTGGCAGGATTGTTCAGAAATAAATCATAATCAAGTCTTCTGAAGCCACATTACTTGATCTCTTCTAGCACATCTTGAAAATACATATAAATGTGTACATGGCTCCTGTATTTTTCTCAGTTTTTGTCTGAGAAAAAAAATGGAAGCTGAATGAAAGAGCTGGCTGTTAATTATAATTTTCAGATTTACTGGTTTCAGTTTTTTTTTTTCTCATTGAAGTACAAAACAACAAACATCCACTGGCATAATATGTATGTTCATGTACAGTATGTACTGTATATTGAAGCACAATTTCAGGTGCATACCTTGTTGAAATTAAAGAGAAGAAATCTGAGTGTGAGAAATGTGATAGATTGATGTCCCTTCCTAGAAATATCCTGCCTTGTGCCAGTGCTAGCTAACAACATGAATAAACACATTTTACCAAAGTATGACTTTGTGCCTATAGAAACTGTCTTAACAACCAGGAACCTAGCTGTATCAAAGTGAAGGGATAAAACTTACAAATAAAAATAGAATCTCTCTGGACAAGGCACAAAAGGGCTCAGATCCCCAAGTATGAAACTACTTCTACAAAGAAAATACAGCAACAGAAACATTCTGCAACATATTTTTATTTTATTAAAATGACACTGAACAGTTGAAAACTAGCTATTATTCATATTAATTTTGGACAAACTACTGCCACAGCTGTCATGGCCATCAAAATATTTTCTGCTGGCCTGGGTCCCACTGCACTGCTCTCAACGTTTTCAGCAGTTCAGAGCTTTGTATTAGTTGGCAGTGGTTAATAATCACCTGAAATGGTTGCTGTAGGTTTTAGCCAGCTATGTTTTAGTTCTGAGTTAGCAAGGTGACCTATAGCCGTGGGTAGTTACTATATCTTTTGAGCCTTCAATGTGAGTGCCATGAGATGTTACTAGTAGAAAAGCAGCATTTCTGCAGTGCCATCCAATCAAGTAGGTGGCTTGATCAGCATGATGAGCGAACATCTTTAGTATAAATTTAAGCATCTAGTTCAAAAGCTGTTTCTATGATGTGGCTTTATAGGCATATCATAAGACTGTCAAAGGGACTCCTTTCAGAATCTCTTTCAGAGATGCGCAATTTTATTAGATTTTAGTATTTTCAAGGAAGGAATATGAACTTTTTTCTTTTCAGAATTGTTTTCAAGTAAAAATGATTCAATGATTATCATAATAGAGTAAACAACTATAGAAATATCCCAACTAACAGATGGGCTTCACATTTCCATGTTTATATACCTTGCTTACCAGCAGTGCTGAGTTAAAAAAATGGTAGCACTGCCAATTATAGTAAGTCTATGTCAGTATTGACAAATACTTGTTTGACAAATAGTTCTAGGACTAACAGATAGACTACTGGACTTGATAGATAAAATATGCTAGCTGTAGTGTGCAGAAAATATGAAAAGTTCCCGCTGGTCATGTGTTCTGGATAAAGGCAGTTCAAAATGTCTACCTTTCATTCCAAATCTGTGCATGCTCGTGGTCACGGCTGTTGCCCAGAGCACAGGGTGGAACTCTGGAGCCCAGGCATCTTCTATTCAAGACTGGTTTATGTCATAACATGACCACAATTCCATAAGCCACTTTGCATACTGACAGAACACCTCCTAGGCTAGGGATAGGAACTAAGCTTTCGTCGTGAGTATCCAGCACATAGTGACTGCTGATTTGCCAGGCATCTGCAAGCTAGTAGTGATGTCAGTGAAAGTCACACTGCTTCTCCAATCAGCCCTAACCCTCCTCTCAGGCACTGTGGAACTTGTAGTATGACAAATAAGGAATGGTTTCTGCGGGGGAGAATGTTATAGGACTTGTCTGCAAGTCTCGGCTGTGGGGGTACATGATTCACTGCCAGAGAGCTTAAAAAACAATGGGTACAGATCCCTTGCCAGCTGCAAGTGGCAACTCCAGTGCATTCCTGAAAAAATGTCTAGCTGGCCAATATAAGTTCTCAAATATCTCAAATAAATGTTGAGGATTATGAGGAACCACCAGGTCTTGTTAATTCACTACTGTAAATGCATAGTTATAGTTGTACTGTTCACTGAAAAATAATTAATAGATACCAAGCACCCTGCTAAAGTAAACAATATCACAGCTTTGTTCTTTATTTTAATGAAGGACTTATCCTTTTCTATAAGTCTTTCCAACACCTACTGTCAACCACTTCTAACTTTCTTTCTAAAGGTATTACAAATCTTTCCCTTTTCACACTTTTTTTTAGTTTTAGAACTGAGTTGACTCTGTAAGTCTTGTTCAAGGATAAAGTTATTGCTTTTTAAGGTGAAGAAAGGAAACACACAAGCATTGTTTATGCAGCTTAAGTGAGAGAAATTTGTTAATACAACATGTGAACAATTTGATATTTCAAACCCAGATGTGGCCAAATTCAGGTTCAAGGGAAGGAAATTGTGGATATGTGGCTTTTGTATCTGGTAAATCTATAGTTAACAAAATGATCCTTTCATAATGGAAAAAATCATTATTCAATTTTTTTAAAAATGTCACAACAAGAAAAGAGGGAAATTGGCTCAAGAAACGTTGTGATGTATTTGAATTCCAAACCAAATTGCCTAAATTTGCAATCCTTTATCATAACCTTTTCACATTTAAGATTTTTTAATGGAAATATAAGAGATATCTGAACTTTACCTTTAAGCCCTCGTCAAATGTAATGTTTTCTTTTTCTAAAGTTCCTCAGATCAGCCGAAATGGAGATCCATATGTTGTGCCTTCAATTAGGGAAGCCATACAGTCTGTTGATAGTGCTATCGACTCTACTAGGAGACATCTGTTTGACAGGTAGGATGCATGTTTAGCCTGGCATTGTTCAGTCTTGGTCCTAGGGGGCTGGTGTATCTGCGAGTTTTATAGGTCTGTTTAAAGCAATAGCAACTGAAAGACTGGGGCAATGTGTTAAATTGGTCCAGTTATCCCAATGGTTAACTGATATAGCTCATTAAGAACTGAGCTGTAATGAAAATCTGCTGGAACACAGGCTTTCTAAAACTGGGATTGGGCAGCCCAGAATTAGAATATAAGCCTGCTCTACTGAAAAGCCTTTTAATGTAAGTGAGATGTTTTGTTTTCGTTTAGATAAAAATTGAGTTATGGTTTCTCAAAAGGTTCTCCTATTAAAACACTAAATCATACCAATTCTTCTTGCTTACTTTTATGTATAACACAAGCTATTGTTATGTCCCTAGGAGAAATCATAAGACTTTTAAATATTCTGTATTTTGACCATGAAACGGTTCTCTGGAATAATTATTACTGATGTGCAGCCCTATGACATTTCCTGTTGATTTTCCCTAATTGGCTTCTCACGGTCTCAACTCAGCTGTAGCCAGATTTAGGGTTTTTTTTAATCCCTTTTGGTATTGCTGATGTGCCTCGTGTTTGGTGCCAAATAATTTTTCAGACTATTCTCTTTGAGTAGTTGCAATTTTAGTACATCCTTATATTTAAGCAGGATTGCTACAGCAGCCAGTATTACAGAGGCTAATTTTACATGTTTGTAATGGTGTTGCAATGATCTAGAAGTATTGTGTCCTGATCTAACTGGTTATCATCTTTATTTAACTGTGTAACCTTATCGTGTAAGTTTCCATTGGACGTGGTGCATTTCTCTGTGCTTATTAGAACTCAGAGACTATCATTCAGTAGGACAAATATATTTTTTTTCAGTTTAAGTTTGATATATGTTATATATTAATGTATACTGTTTATGCATTGTAATGACTGCCAAAATGGCAAGAAAAAGACCCATAGCTGCATAAAGACTACACATACTGAATAAGATTGCAGTGTTAAACATGTAGTGAATACTTTGGATGCTGGGAATGAAACTACTGTATATAGAGTAGTTCAAGTAGGTACAGTAGCTGTGTCAGCATACGTAGGCTGCCAAGGAACAAGTAATAGGTTTATTCCATGCTGAAAAGGGAAGAAAGGAAACACAGCATTTCGGCTGTGGAGCCTTCGTCGGGTGACTGACACCCAAACACCTGAAGAAGTTTCCACAGCCGAAACGTTGTTTCCTTTCTTCTCTTTTCAGCATGGAATAAACCTATTACTTGTTCCTTTAGTGTATAAAGAGTACAAGTGCATTTAAGATTGAGATCAGGAGGCACTTCTTTACCCAAATAGGAATATGGAACAAGTTACCCTGCCGTGTTGTTAAAACAATACCCTGACTTTTTTCAAGAACCAGTTGGATGTGATGTGTGAAAGCAAAATTGGTTCTGTTCATAATAAAAGTAGTCAAAATATGTACCTCAAACTCTTCAAAATCAAGGTTACATGCTTTAGTTATGTCCACCATACAACTAAAACGCAGTACTGTAGTTATTTTACTAACCATTTAGCTGGCAATGCTGGTATTAATGTTATTTGTAGAATGGTAAGATATATAGTATATTAGTACAGATACATCTCTGTTTTGTAACTACCTGAAAGCCTTTGCTGAGGAAAGGTAACCAATAAGCCTAAAAAAATTGAAACACATCCAGCTGTTTCTATTTACATAATTGTCCTACTAAAGTATAGTTTGGTCCAGCTTCAGATACAGATACAAAATGTATTCCAATGAAACAGTCGTGAAAAACGTCTCTGAAAAGGCTGAAAAGAACCAATTTCTGCCACTACTAGACTCTTCTACAATTTACAGTACTGATAGATGGAACACAGAGCTTTCACATGGAAAAACAAAATTCCCGTTATGGTTAAACTTTGGTCAGTACCTCATTGAATCAGACTGTTAAGAGTTGTTCTAGGGGTACAGAAAAGGTGAATAATTGATAAAACAAAAAGACATATTTTCCACATGGAATCAGGCCAGAGAAGATAAGCGTGGAAAAACCATCTTTCTTGTCTACATGCAGTTTTCAACCTGTAATGTACCTTAGAAGATGAGAAAAGCTTTAACATTAGAAACTTCCAGATGGGTCCAGGGGCAATTCTCCATATGTATCTAAGAACGCTACATCTGACTTTTATGACTGGACACTTCCTTGCAGTATCACTTTTTAAAGATCAGCATGCTAGAATGGACATTTCTCTACTAAAAGTGTCTGGAAACCTGTTGTATTTTCTGAAATGTAGTTGGCCCTAATGCCCTCTTTTTTTTTCCGTTTTTCCCCATGGCTCTCTCTGCTGGTTTGTGTTTTTCTGTTCATTTTGAAGAAATCCAAAGGGGTGACACTGTCAATGCCTTTCAGGATTTTGAATACTTGTGTCAGGTCCAATTGTCTTCACTGGTGCTGGAATGTTGCTTTTCCCTGGACAGATCCAAGAGCAGCAATCTCTTTTCTGTAACCTGGTAACACAACATTCTAAATGAGTTTCATTGCAGCATCCCTTGATTTAACTTCTGCACTTTTAGCTGTATATTCTAGCTTTTTGTACACCTTTTTTATTGCTTCCCCATATTGTCTAGAAAATGTAAATGACATTTCAACAAACACATATAGGCCTTTTTCACAAGTAGCCTCCATGCTCGTCTCTTTTAGAATTTCATTAACTGTTTCTACAGTGTTTGCTCATTCTTAGATGGTATCATCTGCAAAGTTGACTAGTTTACTAGCTCTTCCAGATCATTGATATAAACTAAGAGCAGCAGTCCCTGTACCACAGTACAGAGCCCTATGGTACTCTACAAATTATGTCACCCTAGTCTGAGTATTCACCCTTTTTTCTGTACCCTCTGTTTTCTATTTAATAACTAATTCTCAATCCAAACACTAACATTGAAGCAGTACCCTTCATGCCTACCGCCTACAGTTCGACCATTGATCATGATTTGGTCAAGGATATTCACAGCCCAGAAAGATTTGATGGAAACTTTTAATGTTTAATGTGTTTGAAAAGTTAACTTGCACACGTTTTATAAATGATTGGACCAGTCATGTCGCTGAGTGTTTTGTTGAAACAAGCCAAACACCCTTGTTCAAGACAGCAGATGCCTTGTCTTGTGGGCATTACCAGAATCAAAGCTTAGGTATCAATTAAATAAAAGGCCTGTTTTGTCCAAAGTAGACTAAAAGGTCTGAGCAAATGTTATCAATATAGAAGGATATTTCACTCTTAATTTTGCGGGAATTATACTCATACACCCAGTAGTACACTGGAAAGATCCGTCTGACTTTTAAGAGATGTACTGAAATATATTCCCATGTAGTTATTTGGCAATTGGACACATTTTGCATGGTTTAAAGGGGATGCTATTTTTTTAAGGAAAAGATAACAGTTTCATCTTACTAAACAATTACCATATCTTTTCAGTAGAATGACAAGCATAAAGGAACTGAAAATAATCTAGGCACTTAAGAATCAGGAAAGGCTATACTGTACAGTATGTACAGTATATGAAGATAGACGGGTTTGTAAGATTAAAGTAAAGCCCTGGGTCTTTGAGAGATTAAAGTAATCTACTTGAGAAAGATGATGAGGAGGGGATAGAGAACAAAACAAAGCCAATTGCAGCTGACATAGTAAAACACTTAATAATTACATCTGTGCTATGCTTTTTTAGGTTCGTGTTTTTGTTAATCATTTGCACCATTCTGCTCCAGGCTTAAAAAGCTTAAAATCCTGCTTTGCCTTTAAGGTCTCTCATGTCTGTTGATATGATGCCCTGACTGCTATTTGTTGAAATCAAAGCACACTCAATACTGTATATGTAGCTCATTATAAAAATTAAGGTTTTTTGTACATTTATTTTGCATGACTTCCCTCAGACAATTGAAGAAGTGGTAGTGGATTTGAAGGATAGATGGGATTCTATTGTATTTGTACATACATTTCTTCAAAATAATAAAAGTGACCTTTAGAAAATTAGAATACCAGTACATTACAATAAAATCCAACTAAATTAATGGGTGAAACTGTTTTAATGTGATTTCTTACACTTAGAGTGACTGTTGTGACATTTATGTAATAAAAATGAAAGCCATTTTTTCAAAATGTATCTATTTAGAATGTGTAAATAATATTGAAAATCCCTAAATTGCTTAAGTACATTTAAGCAAATACGAAAAGGAAATTAAAAAGATAGTGACAGTGGAAGATACTGTAGACACTTTTGAGAGAGTAAACGTTTGTATATATTGGAAGTGATTTTATCAAGGAAGGAAGTACAGTGTAACTGGCATTATCTGCCTTGGCCTATGAAAATATTTGGTTTTATTAACAAAGCAAGATTAACATCATTCTCTTGAATGCTAACTGGGTTTATTATTTAATTCCAAAGTGTAAAAGAAGTTAAAAAGATGTGTTTAGCTTTTTGCGTGAACCATTTGCGTAATAGATTAAAACCTTTTATGGAAAACTAGGTGTGACATTCACATTTGTTTTTTGTTACTGTTTCTAATCAGTAATCCCAGAACCCCAAGTGACCTTTTGGCTCTGTTTCGGTACCCAAGAGACCCTTACACAGTAGAACAGGCGAGAGCTGGAGAAATCTTTGAGCAAACATTACTGCTCATTCAAAGACATGTTAACCAAGGACTCATGGTTGACACCAATGGCACAGGTGAGTGCTTAATCCTCCTGGAAATTGTTCAAATAAAATATTGAATCTCTGAGAATTTGATCTAATATGTAGAACAGGTGCATTTGGGTCTTGCAAACACAGGTTGCTTTTTACAACAAAATGTCCTTGCAATTACATATCGCTATAAAAATATTTTAATGTTCCTTTTTTATTTATGATTAAATGTTTCTATACCCAGACACAGTGCCTTGGCAGAATAAAATGAGTACCCCTGATGTGTAAAATACAGGGCAACTTTTTGAGTTGTTGGGGCACATGTAATCTGGCTTGGTCAAGGAAGCAATTCTGAAAACTTGGTAGAAAGAATACACCCAATTTACTGTATTCAAGGAGGATATAATTTCAGAGGGGTGAATTGGTTGATTTTATTTTCAAGTTCCCCTCTAGTATTATATACGTGTTCTATTATTCAAAATGGATCAAATGTTTTGTGGATGCATACTGTATACAGTATGTTAAACCTTTTAAACAATATGTGCATCAACAGTTACAAGTTATCTGGGGCTTTCTTTTACATTTTGTATTTCTGTGAAATTGTGTAATATTCCCTTTCTCATCTTTTAATGAATAGTAATGTTAAGCTGAGATGAAGAATGTAAAATATACTGTAGGCCACCGCATGTTTTATAACAGCAGCAACATATCAGTGGCGCACTGAGCTATTTTATTTTCATCAGGCCTCTCTTAATCTACCTAGAGGATTGTTCCGCTCAAAGCCCCCTTTCTCCATTTAAACTAACATGAAAACAATTATTCGCTTTTGGTAACTCTGTGTGTTACACTTGTACAGGGTAAGGCCTCTGAAGTACAGGCCCATTGTTGTTACTGGCTATGACAACAGTCATGTACTGTACTTGTTGTATGTGACTTTGACAGAATGCAGAAGGTCTTTGCTTGTCAGCAAAATAAGGGTGCCTGTTTGAATTATCTTTCCACTGCTTGGGATTTTCCTCTGCCTTTGTGTTTGGCTTTTTACAGTCACAGAACCACAGAGGTATTTTAATCAGCCAGCTGATTACTGACAGGAAGTTTATACTGCCTTATACAGCACAGACGACCTGCAAGTCAGATACAGTATACATTTCTTACTATCTAGCGATTAGCTGGTTATTGTTCTTTTAGTTATTTTTTTCTTGTTGCAAAATGGAAGGGGAGCAACAGAAGAGTTAGCGGTTTCGAACTTGGCAGTCCAACAAAAACACAAAGTAAATCTTGACCTCCAGATCACAGGTTCTCATCAGGAGTGCATTACAACATAAAGTTTACAAATCCAGATAGGAGACACGGTGGATTCTGTTGTTTATCTCTTGTTTTAATTGTCTATGTATGTTTCAAGCCATTATCTTTTTGTTTCTCATCTTGAAGCTTTTCGCTACAACGATCTGGTGTCTCCGAGGTTCCTTGACATGATTGCCAACCTGTCCGGCTGCACAGCTCACAGGCGGTACAATAACTGTTCTGACATCTGTTTCCATCAGAAATACCGCAGCCACGACGGCACATGCAATAACCTGCAGCACCCCATGTGGGGTGCCTCGCTGACTGCCTTTGAGCGCCTCCTAAAGTCTGTCTACGATAATGGCTTCAATTTGCCAAGGGGGGCCACTGAGAGGCAGCACAATGGCTTCTCGCTGCCTCTCCCCCGTTTGGTCTCCACGACAATGATCGGGACTGAGACAATAACTCCCGATGATCGCTACACCCACATGCTTATGCAGTGGGGGCAGTTTCTGGACCATGATCTTGACTCTACAGTGGTGGCGCTGAGCCAGTCCAGGTTTTCGGATGGGCAGCTGTGCAGTTCTGTTTGCACCAATGACCCTCCCTGTTTCCCCATCATGTTTCCCCCCAACGACCGCAGGACGTTGAGAAACGGGGCCCGTTGTATGTTTTTCGTGCGCTCTAGTCCTGTGTGTGGCAGCGGCATGACCTCACTTCTCATGAAGTCCGTCTTCCCCCGAGAGCAGATCAACCAGCTGACATCCTACATCGATGCCTCTAATGTCTATGGGAGCTCTCATCATGACTCTGAGGAGATCAGGGACCTTGCCAGTCAGAGGGGCCTATTGCGCCAGGGCATAGTGCAGAGGTCTGGCAAGCCCCTTCTTCCCTTTGCCACTGGCCCTCCCACAGAGTGCATGAGGGATGAGAACGAGAGCCCCATCCCCTGCTTTTTAGCGGGAGATCACCGGGCCAACGAACAGCTCGGCTTGACTGCAATGCACACTGTGTGGTTCAGAGAGCATAACCGGATAGCCTCGGAGCTCCTGCGGCTCAACCCCCACTGGGATGGGGACACCATCTACCACGAAGCTCGCAAGATTGTAGGAGCCCAGATGCAACACATCACTTACAATCACTGGTTGCCCAAGATCTTAGGAGAGGTTGGACTAAAGATGCTGGGAGACTACAAAGGCTACAACCCGAATGTCAATGCCGGAATTTTTAATGCCTTTGCCACAGCCGCTTTCCGTTTCGGCCACACTCTTATCAACCCCATCTTGTATCGACTTGATGAGAACTTTGACCCTATTCCGCAGGGACACATCCCTCTTCACAAAGCCTTCTTTTCTCCCTTCAGGATTGTTAATGAAGGGGGCATCGACCCCCTTTTGCGAGGGCTGTTTGCCGTTGCAGGGAAAATGAGAGTTTCTACCCAGCTGCTCAACACAGAGCTAACAGAGAGGCTTTTCTCAATGGCTCACACCGTCGCACTGGACCTGGCTGCCATGAATATTCAAAGAGGCAGAGACCATGGCATCCCGTCTTACAATGATTACAGGGTGTTCTGCAATCTGTCTTCTGCACATACCTTTGAGGATCTGAAGAATGAAATAAAAAATCCTGATGTGAGGGAAAAACTTCAGCGGTATGTACCCTTATTGTGGGAAGTCTTGAGCCAACCTGTCATGGGCTTTGCCAACAAAGTAGTCCTCTGTTAAACTATGCTTGTTACAAATCAGAATCTCCCATTAGTTTAAAGGACAGTGGTTACCATGTCTGTAAGTGAAGAACACAAAACTGTTGTTGTTTTGCATCGATTGTACACTTAACATCTGACATTACCATTGAGCTATTCATATTGATATAGTTTGAAGATCGCTCTTTCTGAAGGGGACAAATTTTAGTGTAAAAAACACTTTTAAGGTAAACGGTTAGCTCTATCAGTTTGTTCATTCTTTGTATGCCAGTGGGTATTGTGCATGACCCTTGATTAATGCACGTGCATGTTTTCATCACAAATTATCTTTTCATATAATGTATTTTGAGTGGAGTGTCCAGAAAAGCGCTATATACTGTAAGTGTAAGCAATTATTATTATTTAAGTAATCTATTAAGGAAAGTTTTGTTTGCTGTCACAAATTATCAGCGTTACAGTCCAAAACCCTGCTAGAGCAAGAGTGAAAACACTATGCAGACATCCAGTAGTGTTAACATACCAATTATTAATGCAGGTTTGTAATTTTTTTTCTAAAACTAAACAAAGTCCATACAACGTGCTTCACAGTTCAAGAGTGTCCTCCTGTGCATTATTGACCAGTTTGGACATTGATCTAATAAATGGATGAAATAAAAACACAAATCTAAGCTGTCATATTTACTAAGAAGGATAACTATTCTTTTTGGGGGAAAAAATGTTTTTAGGCCCTTAAGGCAATGGCAAACACGTTGGTCATGAAATATGCATGCTTTGTTAATCCCTGAGCATTTGCTGAAGCAAATACCATTTTAGAAATTTATAGGCATTTGATTATTTGTAAGATGGTTTTTAAACCATATGGTTAAATCCAGTAATCTGGAGTAGTACTAGATAAATATACAATAAATTGAAATAAAATTAATAATACCAGAATAACAATACCTTACATTTAAGAATAAGATTACTAACAAGGGGTATAATATTAATTTGAACACTAACCTCCGGTTGTGTATTTTGTTTTCCAGACTTTATGGTATACCACTGAATATTGACTTGTTCCCAGCATTAATGGTTGAAGACCTGGTACCTGGTAGTAGACTTGGACCCACACTGATGTGTTTGCTAGCAACACAGTTTAAACGTCTCAGAGATGGGGACAGGTATGCCTTTTAGGAACTGCTTCAGTCCTTTTCTAATAGTATATAAGCAGGAAACCTTTAGATAGCTGTGCACTTTATTCTTTTGGAGGTCCCTTTCTAACATAGACAGTACTTCTTTAAGTCAAAATGAGAAGCAAATATATTCTCGCAGTCCAAGGCAGTCAACCCCAGGGTGTAGGATATTGTACATGGTCAGTGAATAGAGGTCACAGAAAGTTTGATGTGAAATAATTAAGCAAAGAAGTGATTGAGGTCTCGGCTGGAATGAAACCCAGAAGATATGATGGTGTCTGATGAAGGCTTGTGTCTGCTGAAACATTGCCAAGTTCTAACAGAAGTTATGTTGGAGTGGACAAGAATCGTATCATCTTTGATGAAGTTTTATTTAACATGCCATGCCTTGCCATGCATACGAATTGAATGTTAATTTGTGTCACATACATTCATTTATCTAACAAAGATATTGGGACATTACTGAAGATCAACCTTATTAAGTGTAATTTACGTCTTAATTTTCCACAGTGCTATTGAGTTCAATTTCTCCTATTGCATTTCAAGGATTCATTGTAATTTATAGAAATACTATAGTGAGAATATTTATAAATTGTACATGTGTTTAAGACAATGCAAGCATTAACATTAAAATCTGAAATTGTAATGAACAATACGAGATTATATATATAAATAATCTTAATTTAATTATATCTTTTAATCTTATACATTTTTGTTTTTTGTAGTACTGTAGTAGAAGTCCTGAACTAGAATTACTTTTTTTCTTGGTTTATCAGTTTCTTTTCTTTATTTTTCTAATCACGTTTGAATTTTAGACTGTACCACCAGGCTGCAAGCGCAGGTTTCAGGTACAGATTAGAGATTTAGGAACAAGTTTATTCAGCTGTGAAAAGTAAAAAGAAATGAAGAAAAAAAATTAGCTTGTAGCTCTGGAGTTTTTTTTTTCGTCTTTTTATTTTACAGAACAGAATTAATCTCTGCTGGCGACAGGTTAAACTCCACAGCATAGTTAGAAGTTTTTAAACCTTTTTAAAAATATTTTTTATCCAGAAAATATCAAACGAAATCAGATCATTCAGTTTTCCATGTATAACCTGATTGAGAATTTTGGTTATTATGACCAATAATAGCAGTAACGGTACATTTGCTTTTTACACATCTCCACTTTACAATTGGCAAGTCTTGAAATATTTAAGCCTAAAAGAAATGCAGATTGTCCTATCAAAGCCGAAATGTGAACTAATTTAATTTCTTTGAGATTGCGGAAATCCAAACTTCCCGCTATTTAATCATTAAACATGTTTCTTCTTACACTGTATTGTTTGAGGTTTCTTTTCTTCCAGAATGGTCTTTGTTGCATTCCAGGCCTTTACAATAATTCTTCCACAAAAAATCACGTAACAATGTATTCCCAGCAAAGAGTGGCTTGTCTTTATCAGCAGTGAAACATACAGCTTTCCTCAGGTTCAATATATCATGGTGTCACTCATCAAATCAGTCATCCAGTTAATAGAGCTACATACAAGTTTTCTTTGGAATATGAATAGCAGTTATACTGTTTCGCTGAGCAGATCTAGATAGATTTAGATTTTACCTTGGAGTCATGCTGCTTTCTGTCTTGTTTTGTCTGTAATAAGATTTTTTTTATATATAACCCTCTTAATATGTCATTAGAAATTGTTACTGCCAATGCGAAGCTTAGCTCTTCTGCCCTTGTCCAGTATTGTGTATGCCTGCGTGAAGCAGAATGACTTTGTCCTAAAGGATTCCAATATCCCATCTTGCCTCCTCTTTTCTGTGAGGCAACAGGTTCTGGTATGAAAACCCTGGTGTGTTCACCCCAGGCCAGGTGACGCAGATCAAACAGACTTCCCTGGCCCGAATTGTGTGCGACAACAGTGACAACATCACAAAAGTGCAGCCTGATGTCTTCACGGTGGCGGAGTTCCCTCATGGATATGTGAGCTGCGATGACATCCCCAGAATGGACCTGAGAATGTGGCAAGACTGCTGTGAAGGTGAGTGTTGGACTGGTTTTGTTTTGTTTTTTGTCAAGGGAGAGATAGTAAAACATTTGTTTTACATTCAGATTGCACTAGTAGAAAGATTCCACAGTGCTTAACATGTAAAATTTGGATGGAGGTCTTCTGGAGTTATGGTTTAGAATAGAAATATATTAACTGCAGTAGATGCTGTTCAGTTAGGTTTTGTTGACTTATATTCCTGTGGTTTTAACTGAAGGGTTTGATTTTTTATGTGGACTACAGAGGGAGTTTCTTAGTAAATGAACTGGGAGGACTGTGGTATCAGAAGCAATTTTTTAAGCTGTAAGGGCCTTTTTTTTATTTGTACTGTTGGACTTTCCTTCTTGAGACATAAAATAGTGTAGCCATAGAAACGTGGGCTTAAGAATGTGGGGTCTTTGTGAGCATGGATTATTATAGACAATTAGCTTTTCAGTGGAAAAATAAAATAGACTCTTGTTTCTTTCTGGAAATGCTATTTAAGAAGAGACTTAGGTAAGATTTGGGTTCTTATCAATGAATGTCTTACAAATTGTTTTGGATTTTTTTTTAGTTTTGACGTTACAGGCATGAAAAGTGAGAATATTGTCCTCTCTGGCCAGTGTAAACTAATTTATTCTGATCTTATCGCTTAGAACGTTTCCATGTACTGCCCCAATTTTGTTTTTCCCAGCACATTTCATTTTCCAATACATTAAAATCTATTATTTTTAAACCTACGGACTATAAAGCTGTAGATAACAGACAAATCTAGAAATAGCTGCTAGGTCCCAACATGAGCATGTTCTGATCGCATATATATTGCATGTAAACACCCAGACTGTTTTTAGAGTACTTTCTGAGTCAGTGTTCACTGACTGTATAGTGTACTGCTCCCTTTGCACTGGTTTCCTGAGTGCCTTGAACTGAAAAGGTAGTTCAGAGTATGATTTGAATCCTTTAGCCCAGATAATGTCTCCTTCTTAGCAAAAGGATTCCCTCAAGGGGCAGCACGCAACAGGCCAAGCGTCGATGGTCTTGAGAGGGCCAGTGTGCCCTCAGCTTGCTGCACAGCAGTGACCTGCCCCATGGCCTGTGATCTTGTAGTATCGTCAGTGAGAGCCACATGTGATTAGGGCTCCCACATCTTGGCCTACCTTCAGTATAGCCACATGTGATCACTCCCATAATCAAAGCAGTCTCTGCTGCAAGCACATGGACATTCAGAATGAGGAAGAAATAGTGGAGCATACGGTTCCTTCTAAGCTGCTTTGAAAAAATAACCTAAGTGCTCCAGTTTAAAAAGATGTAAAGGTATAGAGGGCAAATGCAAAATTAGGAGAATATTAGAAGCAGAATTAAGTGAATGAATAATAATAGTGCATTCATAGCATAGCATTCATAGCTGTGTGTATCACAAAAATAACATTGTTTGAACAGCATCTCTCTATTTGACATTTTCCAGTTAAATTATTATTAATTTTACTTATTACATTCATTTAATAAAAACGTATTACAAACATCTTTAGGAAACAGTGGAGATGTCACGTGTTGGTTTTGTTGGTTTTTGACAGATGTAAATCTGTATAGCGGTTTGTGTTTCACAGGAAGTTTGTGACACCAATTCGACTGTTGTTTGTTTCTGGAGGTTAATATTTTTTAACTTCATTATCACGGGACACTTATTTTTTTCAGTACCAATCAGATTTCTAACTCTAACATTTTAACAGGAAAGGCAGTAATCTTTTTTGCTTTTTTCCATTTGAACCTTTTGAGGTGTGACCTTGTGTTCATTTTGTTGCTGAAAAGGAATCATGGAAGACACAAAAATAAACATTGTATATCCTGTCTGTGTACAAATTGCTGGAAGGACAGGAAATGTTTAAAACAAGAAGAATTCTTTCATTTTTTCCGTGTTGACCAGCTGAGAACAGACTCTAATTTACGGTATTGATCTCTAGGGAAAAGAAGGAAACAGATATACTGTAGCAATTGTATTTTTTTTCCTCTCTTTGTGTTTAAATTTCTTGAATTCATAGAATTTGTCAGGTTACTCTTTTAGTTGTCACTATTATTTTAGGAATTACCTTAATCTTGAGAACTAGTCTAAAATCAAATTAAATAAATTGTTAAATTATCTTTAAATTGTTGTTTACATTGGTTTCATATAAAAAAATGTTTGTGTAACTTTTGATTTAATTCAGGCAGATTTGTTTTCTGAAATGCCCTGTTCTGCCCTCCAGACACAGGCTAATTACAGGATCTTTCATTTTAAAAGCTAAAAGTGGTTCCTTTCAAGAGTTTGTGTATGTGTTAAAGCAGAGCCCAAAGTACTTTTCCCATTTCTCTTTGACATTTGCCATTCCTGTAATAATGGGGTTGGATCATCCTATCATCTGTTAGCAGAAATGACAGGCTTTTGTGAAGGTGTTGTCTGGCAGCAGATGGGTAGGTGGTTTATTACCATCAGTATGCTTTGATTTCAGCATCTCTTTGAAACGATGAGATCTAGTCGCAGTTAATACCACCCCATGCTGCATTGTGGGGTCTGCAAGATTTTTAATGATGAGTGAGGGTGGATGCTAGATTAAGGTTGTGCTGAAGACAGTTTTTTTCCTTTTTTGTAAATGTCAATTCTTTTAATTATGTGACAGAAGCAGATTCCCTCCCAACAGTGTGGAAAAAAATCATTGAGACGAAAAATAATAGCATCAATGTAAATTTGTATCTTTTTTACAACAAAATCACCATTGAAATCCTTTACAACCATTTGTTATTGAGACTTGTTTCTGCTATAGAGTTTCTTTGGCACCACTTCTGACAATGGAATATTGTACATATTAGTCCCCCCCCATCCAGTGGATAACAGTTTAAATATCACAAATATCACATTATGGCTTAATTATAAAACAATTATCACATTAAGAACATTATATGTGCTTAGATTTAGTCAAGATTAAAAGGTATGGGTTAGTAACAAGAATCCTTTTATATAATCACCAGTCAGAACTTGTGAACATTTCATTTTAAATGGGTATCTCCCACAAGCGGTAATGCAACAGTGGCCTCTAATTACTCTGCAACATTTATTGAAAGCATTTCCGTTTGAACCTTGGAAGCTTGCTTGGTTATGTCCAGGTTATTAGTTTAAAGTGTGGGGGCTGAACTGGTGTATGAGGTTTTCATTTTTTACAAATAAAGAAAGGTATACAGACTATAAAAATATTTTTTTTTTCTTTTACAACATGGGTCTCCAATGGTGGTAATGTAGAGCAGGTAACCATTAAATCATAAGCTTCCATATGCTCTGTAAACAGTTGAACTGGTGATTTTATAATACAGATAATTTAGAGATCACTTGGATTAAAAATAATATCTTTCAGCCTTCAGGGGCCGCTGTTCCTTTAATTGAATACATTAATTTCTTAATTGATCAGTAACTTACCTGATTTTTAAAAACCCCACGATTTAGGATGACCTTTTAGACGAAGTGAACTGAGGCTCTCGAGAACCAGAGTTACAAATCCCTGACGTACATACATCCTTGATGTACTGTATATAGTAGATAGTAGATAATAAGAAAGATGACAAATGACTGAAGGCCTTTAACAGCTAACCCAGGTAGGTTATTCCACACTCCCACAGCCATTTTGGTCAATTGGTGCCTCCTCAGTCTTAAAAGCACTTCCGCATGGTTCCCGCCTGTGCCCTCTGTTCATGTTTTACCATTCATTCTGAAGAAATTGTCTCTTTTGGAGGATTTTAAATACCCCTAATTGCTTTCTCTGTTGAAGATGAAAAAGTTTCTGTTCCTTCAGCCTGTCAGTGTAGGACAGTCTCTCAAGCCCCACTTTCTGTTTGTTCTAAACTGATTCCAGAGCAGTAATGTATTTTCTGTAGTGTGGGTTACCTAAACTATATTCCCAATAAGGCCTAACTGAATTAAACTCTAAGCTTTTAACCATCCTATCATTTGGTGGAGTTAATTAATTGCTTCATAACATTTAAAGACGTTCTAAAAACCTTTTTTTTGTTGTTTTATTGTTTTATTTTTGTAGACTGCAGGACCAAAGGGCAGTTCAATGCACTGTCCTTCCATTTCCGAGGAAAACGGTCAGTAGACTTCAGCTTTGCAGAGGACAGTCCCTCCAGAAGTGAGAAGAAAGAGAATATTTATAGGTAAGAATTATATTATAGATAAAGACTATTTATAAGGCCTTTTAGTGGGAGTTTTTACATTTACAAATTGAAATTTCTTTAAATATTTCCTTTTATACCCTGTTCTTGTATTTTTCCTATTTCATATCAAAATTAATAGCATTTTATTGTATGACAGTGAATGGTTTTCATTGTTTGCCAAATGAGTTATAATCTATTTTTTAACTGAGCTTTTTCTTTTGCGAAAATCAACTTCAATACTTATATCATCATGCTTTTTCACTGAATATTTCAGATATGCTAAAATTGAATATATCTGATATACTTCCAAAAGTATCCATCCCTTTCCAATAATGTCTGATTTTGCTGAATTACAAATGGCGTATACACATGTTTTAAGTGAATATCTGTAATCAAAACTTGACTGCTGAATGGGTGAAAATGGGTGAAATATTCTGATTGAAAGAAGCTGAATGTTACCAAATGTTAAAAAAAATATGGTGATGCACATTGATTCAACCCCTAAGTCAATACTTGTTATGCTCGCTGGAAGCCTTTTCAGCAGTAATTACAGTTATGAGTCTTTTCAATAAGTCTCTTTGCATGGTGGAATGGTACAATTTCCATCTTTGCAAACCTGCTCAAGCGCTGTGTCTTCATGGTTGAGATTTCAAATTCATTACCTGACTGAGGGACCTTACAGAGACAGGCGGATTTATTCTGAACTATGAACCAACTAAGTTTGAAAAGGGGTTGAATACTTATGCAACCACTTATACTGTAGTTATTAATTGGCCTGATTGATTGTAGTTTCTGATGAAATTTAGCTTCTTTCACCCATAAAATATGTATAAAAACATATTTGTTATAGTTGTATATCCACTCCTGGGGTTACATGAGGGATCCGTTCTGCAGTCACAGGTATAGTTTACAAGCAGTAATTAAGAAAAAAAAACATTATTAATACATCCAACATTTGACTGAGTTAAGTTACTGAATAAGCTAACTGAATTTATTGCTGCCACTTCTCTTTGAACTTTAATTATAATACTCATCCTAGTCTAAAGTAATATAAAATTGTAAAAAACTAAGTTTGTCTTAAATATGAGCCACACTGGAAGGTAAAAAACTAGACAAGGTGTCAAATATGTACTATTATTTTTTAAATTAAATGTCAGTCTTATAAGATGTAAGCAGTTTACTACTTAAATTACTGTATCAATCATACTTAACAACTCATGTCGGGTAGACTGGAATTTTCAGTGGATTTTTTCATGTTTGCAGCCATGTGGACGACAATTTAAAAAACCACAGAAATCACACAGTTGCACTGAAGCCTGTACAGCAAAGCACTGAACCCACAATAAATGACTTTCAAGACTTTGTTTTAGATATGCAAAAGACTATCTCAAGTCTGCGCAAGCAGGTAAGTTCCCTGAAGTTTTCATTGATTTATATTAACATATATTGTCATTATTAGATTATTAGATTGTATTATTTTGAGAATTAAGAAAATGTACTAACTATATCATTCCCGCAAGTATTTCACATTTTATATGCTCACTCACAATGGCAGCAAATAAATTTTAAATATATGAAGTGTAAGAGGACTGAAACTTCACAAGCTTCTTTTTTTTAGCACCTGAAGCTAAAACATCTTTGAAGCAGATGTTATTTTTCAATGTAACAACGCTAAATAAAATTGCAGTCAGTGCTGTTTTTTTTTCTTTATCTGAACATGAGCAACATTCATCTTTTGTTTGGCTAGGGTGCCTGCCTGCACCTGCAAACCAGCATAAAAGAAGAAACATTGGTTGCAGGCGTTGTAGCTTGACAGGCTTTTACAGAGTGCGTGCCAAATGCAAACTGCATTCTTGAAGAGCTGCCAAACCATAAACATGGCATCATTGGACTGACAGGTCTTAAGGGACATTGTTAAAAACCCAAAAGTTCGGCAGTAACTTTTCTGTGCTGCAGGGCTAAATGTGCTTACACAGGAAGGCAGAATGTCCATGTTAACTGCTCATATGAACAGTTTGACTTAAATATGAGTTTATTGTATATTATTCTTGTATTATTGTATTGTATATTATTATCGCATCCCAATAAAAATTTTCCTATTGTAATTTTTGAAGATTTTAATATCTGTGTTAAATGATATGCTTGATATATTTAGTCATGTAAATTGACATAAGCCATAACATAATTAACACAACAGTAAACATAATTATCAAATTAATCTTATAACTTTTTTGAATCTCAGTTCTTCTATGAACTTCACTGGAATAGCAGGAGACTGCATTATTTATATTATACGGAAATGTGTTCATGTTGCAGTAAAATAGACATCTTTTTTTCTTCAGTGCAAATTGTACTTGTTTTAGTTGGTTTTTTTAATTAGTCCTCTACTTAAAACAGATCCGTTTAGGAGTTTGTTGGTGGTAGATGTTGAAGCCTGCTGTTGACTTTTCACCAGATAAAGAAACTTGAAGCTCGTGTGAGTAAAACCGACTGCACTGATGAAAAGGGGAGAGAACGATCCTGCATGGAAAAGTGGAAAAGGGACTCTTGTACTACATGCGAGTGCAAAGTAAGTACATAGATGCTTCCATCATACATCAAGATCTTTCATTTATCTGATCTTTTTATTTGACTTAAGCCAGAACCAATTAATTAAACCGGGTAGTAAGCAATGCTGATCAGCAGATTATTTTTTAAGTTGCTTGCTGCTTCAAAATAGTAATAATGCTTGGACCTCTTTGCTTTTCTCTCCAACAAATGCTTTGTTCTTTTGCACTGTTTAATGTGGCCCCATTTTACAGTTAGGTATTCAGTCTAGAATATCCAAGTAGTTTTTCTTTCATACCTGCTGCAATAAAAGGATAAATATCAGTTTTTCATATTGATATTTGAAAAACAGGTTAAAGTTTGTTCTTAGCACTTTCATTACAAATGAGCACAACCTTGTGTGCACCAGTACATAACAAAATCAATGATTCTGTAAGCTCATCTTATGCTACATTTCAAATATGATGAAGTTTTTTTGTATCAGTTTTAGCTTGACATTAATGATACATTAATGCACATTGCAGAGAACGAAACTGGTTGATTCTTTTGTGGCATGCATACATACTTATATCCTCTTAAATAGGAACTTTAGGGAACTGTTTTTTTGCTGGAAATATATTTTTATTACAATTGCATAGTATAGATTTAGGATATGCAAAGTCCTTCTAGAGCCACAATGAATCTTTGCACTGTGAGCACTTGCTTATATTTTAAACTTGTTTTCAGGATGCCCAGGTCACATGTTTTGTGGAGACTTGTCCTCCAACAGAGTGCCAGAGGCCCGTGAAGCTAAAAGGAGCATGCTGTCCTGTATGCATGGAAACGTCAGCAAGCCACAGAGAGAAAGTATAAAGCCAGTATTTTCCAGATTTTCCATAGATCTAAAAGTGACCTGCAAGTGTGCAATCGCCAGTGTCCAATTGTCTCATCATTTTTTTTTCGTTGTTTTTTTAATTACCGTAAGCTGCCTATGTAGACCACTGTTTGGATTTGGTGGTTAAAAAGCAGGTACAATGCATAAAACTTCAAGACAGGCATGCAATGATCCACAAACGTTCCAGGGTATCTTGAGACCTTTATCTGATTTTTAGTTTATATGCTTTTACTTTCTTTAAAGATGGTAAGAGGGAATCTAACTGCAACAAGTATGAAAAGGAAGTAGGCAGTTAAATTGACAGGGTGATTGTCTACCATGTTGTGTTGTCAAGCTTTCTCAGGTTAGAGATGCCAAAAAATGGTGCTACTTTTTTCCCTCATTAACAGTGTAGCTATAAAGTACAACCTTAAAAGTATTTGTTTTTTTAAGATATGCAAAGCTTCATATACAGTATACACGATGCGCCTTTACTCTTCAAATACATTTGAGAGATATTTTTAATTTCTCTGAAGACATTTTACATATAAAGTTACTAGTAACTTCAGCTTTTACTAAACGTTCAAGGTGCTTATATATGCCTTCCCTTTATATTACCTGCATACAAATGAAGATAATGTGAAGACTTAAAAATATTTTTTATCCAAAAATGCCTACTGATCACTTAATGTAATTTTTTTTCCAAGGACAACTGTTGGTTAACTAACATCTGATGTTGTGATTGTTTTATTGTTTTTGTAGTGACATAAACAGATTTTCACAATTTGGAATATTTTCATATGTGGCCTGACTACTCTTCTGACAAGCTGAACTGCCCCATCGGCAAGTTAAAGGCTTTTTGTACATTTTATTCTCTTTTTTTATTGCTTGTGTGTTTGTTACAGACTTACCAAAACAGTATTTACTTTTGCTGTACCGATTACATAAGTTACAGTCTCTCTTTTATGCACTTACAAGATGGGCTTTTATAACTACATTGAAGGACACTGGTCATACCTCAGAACAGGTTATTACTTTGTACTTCTTTATATCACAGTTTATTTCTGTGTCAGGAACAATTTAAAGTGACTAATTTAATGTATAGACAAGGAACATTGGTGCTTTTTCCACAATCAACTTTAAACTGTCAGTAGTATTTTTTTCTTGTCTGCCTATTGCAGGGGCAACACTCCTAATTGAGAAAACATGCTTCCTCAGGTACAGACTGCAGGAAGAACTGGAACATTAAGTTGTATGCAAAATTCTAATGAAAAAAGCAATTGTCTGTAAAGCTTTTTATGAACATACAATGTGTATTAAATATTTTTAAACCAATGTACACTACTTTGCATCTCCATGGTGTTTTCAACACTGTTTTCCAAACTAATTCTCCAGTCCTTACATTTTGTACAATGAGGAGTGGAAGACACGGCTCATTCGGGGTTTTGACTGCATGATTTCATTAATTTCCTTAATGTTGAATATTTATTGCGGGCTAGAATGTTGACATTATGGCTTCCAGTCAGAGTTTTGTGGTGACATTTAAGAAGCGATGATGTTATTTAATGTGATCCTTAAAAACAGCATTTTTTTCAACTTCCTGACTCCTAATTGCCAACTAATAGAAGCCATATGTTGTAAAATAGACAACATCTTTTCCAGCCCAGAGTATTGCTACAGTATATCTCTGAAATGCAAAATTCGGAGTAATCCTTCAAATGGAAGTCAAAGCAAGAAAATATGCGATTTGTGACTTGTTAAGGCAAACAGTTTCATGTTTCATCCTCTACATTCTCAGATTTAGAAGTGGTCAATATATGAGCACATATCCTCTTATCCTGCTAAAAGTGCTTTGATGTTTTTGATAACTTGATTGGAAGTTCATATTTTTCAATAATCCCAAACAAAGCTTCCTGAAGTGTCATACAGTATAAAACAATCCCATTTAATGATTGTGTATGGTGATATTTATTTAATTAAAATTACATTCTGGAATGACTCAACTCTTGCTTCTGGTCTTGTAGCTTAAATCTGATTTCAAATGAAATTATACAGTTTGCCATTTCATTGAAGTATAAATAATGTATGATTTAGGATTAAACTTAGAATTAGTTTAGATTCTGAAACCTTTTTCGAGTAATGTGTTGAATTTTCTATTCTGTTCTAAATCTGTTTTTTCCTAATTGGCAATTTTTCCCTGATTATGGAAATTGATAATAGCATTTTTGTTTCTGTCTTTACTATAGCTGAAATAGATTTGTTCAAGATGACTCCTTTTACACTGGCTACTGATCAGGTGTCGTTCTAATGACTACAACTGATTTATCTGTGAAGGAGGTTGTGGACCATTTTCGCTTATTTTAAACAGTTTGAACCTCATTTAAACGGTGTATTTGTGGTCTCATGTGAACATCAATTCTGTGCTTAATATCAACAAAGTACACTGTCATGCAAGACTGAAAATGGTTTAGCTACACTGTTTGAAAGACATAAATAACAATCTTTAGACGTTCGTTTTGTAAAACCATAACATTGCCAAAGAAATGTTTGCACTGTAATATATGCCTCTCAACCAAATTAAATAGGCCACATTTTCAATAAACCTGTTGTGCTTTTTTCTTTATTATCATAACTTGACCAGCATTCTAACACAGAATCAGGTATACTCTGGGACAACGGGTAGATTAGTTCACACAATGCTTAAACTAAAAGGAGTTAAAGATTGTTTTTTTTTATGTATCTTAGACTATTTGCCAATTGTTAAAATTTGGAGCACATACATTTACTGAATAAAAGCTTAGACTAAATTTTACTTTATTTTGAGTTGAATTAACATTTTGGGATTTTCCTTTAGTGTATGACTTACAGGCACCAAACTTACACTGACAAAAAAAAAAGTTGCAACATAAGATCAAGATCTTTGGCCTAACTATCTTAACTAGGACAAAGGCAACATTTATTTATTTTTTACTAACATATTTGTATTAGACACCTTAACCTCCTTTTTTATTGGGAACTTGCTTTGCATTTTACTTTCATGTCTATGTCTGTGGTTAAGGTAACTAAATCAGAACTGCCACATCTTTGGTGTGACCTCACCTTGTAACTTTACTGAGTAGGCTGCGGTGTATGGATTCATCCATCATGAAAGAGTATGAGGTTAGTGTAGGAATAACCATCTATGGAGATTTGAATCTGGAAAGTGAAGCTGCACAATACTCCCATTGTCCATGGTGTTATTGTACAGATTATGTTGTCAACATTTTTTCTTTTAATTATTGTTTGAGGAGACTACCTTAAATACATCTACCTTAGATGTATGACAATGGGAATAAATACGTTTTTCAAAAGCTCTCAGTTGTCTATTGTTTTGTGGATCAGTATGTTAAGTGGTATTCTCAAAGCAAGACATATTTCTAAGGAACTGCAAAATGCAGAGGATGTTATGCCAAACAATTTCAGAGGAAGTTTCAGAGAAATATAGCCTAGACACTCATTTTGGTTGTAAAACTAAACATTTTAATTTTGATTTTTCCAGTGCAAATTGGCCATTTTCTTTTGGATTCACAGATCTATAATAACCAATAAATAGACCACTAGACTGAGTGACTGGTACATATCCGAAGCCAGCAACCTCATATTGACAGTCCCAACACATTACTTTCTGTGCTTCGGTTCGCTCTTTATTGACATGTATGAACAGTGCAATGCACAGACATTTAAGTTTAAATTACTTTTTGAAAAAAAATGTTTTGCACATTTAATTTTCTAATAATACTAGAAATATAATATAGATTTGTAGGGGACATTCAAAAAGAGCAAAGTTTTAACCACTGTAGTATACATATACTGTACATTATGTTTACTCACTATTCACAAGATTGTTATAATTAGAGAGGCCAACTGCATAATTTTATGTGTAAAATGATTTTAAAATATAGAAAAGACCAAATTAGAGATATAGAGAAAGCTGCATAGATCTTAATGTGAAGTGATTAAATCAAATTGTGAGAAGAAATATATGTCACCTATACATATTTTATTTTCTATATTTTGTATTTTTTTTCTCCATATTTTACAAGAAAGGAGACCTTAACTTAACATAGATCTATGATAACCGCAGCATGTACTGTATGGTACAAAGTTGAATCGGTTCATATCCTTTTACAAAACCACTGATAATTGGTGTATAAACTGCACTTAGAAATGAAAGGATTTTCCACATCCAGCAGCTTTTCTGTTTGTACAGCTGAGGGTAGGACAGGCATTTTTTAAATCGAAATCTTAAAAAATAAAATTGTCACCACATTTTGTGAAGAGAGAAGACACAAAGGGCATTGTGTGACTTGTAAGTAGGTATACAGTGGCTGTATTTTGGGGAAAATGGCTACACAACAACATCTGGGGGCTTCAGCACAGAAATACTCTATCCAGTGTTTATTCTAGCAGTGCCTATTATTGCTAGGGCTTCTGAAGGAAGGTAGGTTACCAGTCATGTTAATATCATGCTTACACACTGTGCTACACGTCTTAATTTGTCCTGTTATAATCTTGAAAGGTGCCGCCATGTAATTTTTCAATTCATCTGACAGTATCCTCTTTAATTTTTTACTTACAGTGCTCAATCACTCCCTTCTTTCTGAGTCTTTTCAGTGATTTTAGCTGGCTTGCTGGATGTTAAGTAATGGGAATGATTTGGGGAAAGCAGGGCATGGGTGAGAGTGTGATTATTCTTTTTATTATTATGTTGTTCTGAAACAAACAAATTTAACTAGTTAAGGTAGTCTTTTATCCCGGTCAGCAGGTCCTCTTTCAGTTGATGAGCTTTCACACAACATCTCTGCAGGAACGCATCCAAATTCAGGGTATAAACCCGTTGAAACAAAAAATGAAAGTGTGTCACGGATGTAAAGGAGTTTGTCCTGCAAAAAGTTGATACAAACAAAACCCGAGACAAAGTTAAACGACAAAACCAACAAATACACCAACAGCGACCAGAACACCGTGGGTGCATTAACCAAACCATTACCAACTTCTGGATTCAAAAGCATAACTTTTTCAAAATGCTTACTGCCTGTAATTTGAGAATTCCTGATAAAAGACTGACTTTATCAAAAGCCAGATTGTGTTGTCAGTGTGTGTCCATTACTGGAGTTGCTGAATTAAAGAGCAAGTTAATCAATTAAATCCATGTGAAACATGTATAGGTTTATTCCACACTGAAACATTGTGTCTCCTTTCTTTTCCTTTGGGCATGAAATAAATCTTTACCTATTCCTTTGCAGCATACACAAGCTGATGCAGCTACCTACTTGGTGCTCCTGACACTGTATAATGGTTTTTTTGCTGAATTTCACATTTTTAGATTCTGAGACTCTTAATTCTTAATTCATCCAACCTAAGTTCCTGAGCCTGAATAGTTTCTTATACTGTACAGTATAGTGTAGTACCTCCCCGCTTCTGTCTCTCCGGAACAGAGTATCCACTACTGTTGCAGTCATTTCCTTTCATTAGCCAAGTTTCTGTGATTTGAGTAATATTAGAATTAGAATTCTAACTCTTTTTCTTTCTAACATTCCTGGCATTTGGGTGTTTTAATCAACTTGTCCTCAGTTCTGTTTTTCAACTTGAGTTCTCATTTTGACTTAATTACCCATGTGTCCTTCAACTTAATTTCCTTTGGCTTCTTCCCACTTAAATTCGAATCTAAAGGTTTCTGGATATCTTTGCAGATCCTTGTGCCAAGATGACTGGTGTCCATTTTGTTCAGATGTCATGCGTCTTGTCTGTATGTAAGTCCACTGCCATGGTAGGGTTTCCAGTGGCGCAGAAAGTGAAATACTTCCTCTGCACATCACGTACTCATGCATGTGTTGTGCTGGTGGGTTAACAATTTTTTATCCTTTGCTTGGTAGGATTGCAGTGAAGATCACCAATTTGGACCTATTGCTTAGTTTGTCTCCAAGAAATTTGGATTTGTTATGGATGGAAAAGGTGCTGCTTATGCTGCTGTTGTTTGTGCCAGATTGGATCATGGGGGTTGTTGCCTACTTTAGCTAGGACTGTGCCTGGGCTAGGAATGTAAGCTCTGCGGACAATATCAGCCATCTCAGCTTCAGGGAGACAGCATATTGTAGTCAAAAAACATTTTAGTCTTGTTACAGTTTGTCTTTATTGAAGTATGAAACAAAGTGATTAGAGACAAACACAAAAAAACGGATTTCTCCACATTTTTCTGCTTTCTGCCTTTTTTTTCTGGGTTCCTATATTGGTTACAAAGCAATGTCCCTGATAAAATATGTAACAAGTCTAGAAAAAAACATGCAAACAGGTTT